GGGCGGCCGAGAAAACCTTTGTTCAACCTGAAATGACTCATTTAATCATCCAAAACGATATGGAACACATTAATTAACTGAAAAATGTTGCATAGTGTGCCTTTAAATTAGTATATAGTGTAAAAAGTTAACATCACGCACACTGGTGTTCCCACTTATCAATGTTTAAGGACAAATATAGCTGAGTATCACAACTTCTCTGGGGCATGCTGTCAGAAGCAAAGCTGGCCCTCTGAAAACTCTCAACACTAAACCAAGGCGGGGACACAAAGACTGAGCTGCGATTCAAACAGGCAAACTTCAAGTTGCAGCACAATCTTCTGCCTCCTATGCTGATATTTTTCTTAGCTCATATGCTTTAAGAAATAAGAGTTCAGAGATGGGCTGGCAGTCTTGGAGAAAGTTTGTTCATTGTTTATTTTAAACAACCCTTAACAGAGATGCTTGAATTTAACACTGTGGGTTGACATCAACTCTTTGGAGGAACTAACTCTCATATAAAAACACAGGAAATTTAACACATTGATTCTGCTGTGCACCTAATGGAAAAACAATTAAATGGTTGTTATATTTATTTTGTAAATGTCTTCTCAACTGAAGAAGAGATTTCACAAAGAAGCATTGCTACAAATTGGTTTTCATCTTGAATAAAGGTGCCATTAATCCAGGAACCCTAGCTACTCAGCTTAGCCATCGCCTGTTGAGTATTTGGCAATCTAGGATTTAATTCAGGCAACAAAGAACAAGGAATAACACCTCATTTCTCTACTGATACCTTTATATTCAAAAGCTGAGATTTTAATGTTTCTGGAAAAAAATATTCTAAATGATGTACATGGTATTTGATGATTGAAAACGATATGTCATATCAGGGCTACAGGGAGACCAAAAATACCATACTTATAATAAAGAAAATATAAAGAAATTTACAATTATAAGCAATAAACTGTTTAAACTAAACAAATATGGCTGCAGTTTTCTCAACAGGTGTGATTTAAAGAGCAAGAGTGCTTAAAACTCAGCCACTTCTTTGTTTTCCATCCAGATTCCTTTGTGACTGGTATTTACAGATTTAATTGAAGGCAGTTAAGAAAAAAAAAATTATTTGTGATCACTCGCAGCATAAGCGGGTTGATGCCTTGCATCAAGCTCAGAAGTGAAGACGGATCATTACCCGTTCCACGTGTTAACTCCCCGCAGTACGTCATCCAGAGCCCAGATGAACAACCTTTTCTCTTATGTCAGACACATCTGCTGCCCAGATGTGCTCCATCCAGCAGATGCCTTTTCTACACCTTAAACACCTATTTTATATCCAGCGCATGAAAGACTTATTCTTTTAACTCAGCAATCTTCATAAAGTATTTCATAGAAATTGTATTGCTCTATGGTTCACCGTGATTTATTAAATTTTTATATAATTTGGCAAAAGCTGAAGTCAATGCAATTCAGCATTTTTTTTTGTTTGTAAAAACTATGATTTCATCAATAAAAGCAACAACCATAAAAGTCATTATGATTTGCTGATATTAATAATAATAAAGCATCTCAAAGTGCTGCTCATGGAGATGCTGAGAAAATATATATGCTTTCTGCAATTTTTACTAAAATATCTTGATAGGGGTTGTGTGTAACTGATTCCAGCTCCCTTAACGTGTTTATCCCTAAACAAGAACGAAAGAAGAGGGTTAACCTTTTGTCCTGTTTTGGTAAAATATGAGAGCAAATCTTACACACCACTCTGAACCCCAGCCCCTGAATGAAACATGGAAATGGAGGCATAATGTGGCAGGGACGCTTTTCTGCATTAACAGAGAAGGTGGTTATAATGTATGATAAGTTGGATGGAGCTAAATAGAGGACAATCCTGGATTAAAAAAAAAAACAGGTTAGAGGTTATATAACACTTGATACTGGACACTTTTCCTTCCAGCAGTGAAGCTACCTGCATAAACTGGACTGGAGTGGACGTGCAGGTGGCGCAGTGTTTAACGCGCATGACCCATGTGGCCTTAGTCCTCGACGCGACCTTTGAAGTGCATGGGGGGGGACTCTGTGGCTGCATTGTTGAGCAGCAACTTGATAACAGCTGACAAGAATAGATTGTTTAAGCTAATTAGGAAGGCCAGCTCTGTTTTAATACTGAGAATCTGTTCAAACCTATAAAATCAATAATTACAGACAGGTTCAATTTAGTCTGATTAAGAGTGAGGTATTTTGTTAAAAGGAACAGCATATATCTCAGTCTCTATATGTGCAAATCTGACAGGAACAAACCTCAAAAGTTTTTAATGTGACCAAAGCTACAGGTGGTTTTTCAAACATTGGGTCAATGAGGTTAATTACAAATGCAGATCAGTGCTTGTATCATCTGTCCTTCCTTTTCAAAATGATGTACCACATTGCGTTGGAACATAATAGGACTACTTTCTAAAATAAAATAAAGATCTGATGCATAAAACCAAACAAAGTTGTAAAATATCTGGAAGGGAAAAAGGCTTTTTATATTTCCACCACTACTAAAGAGTCCATATCAGTATTGTTGTGATTTTGTTTTATTTAGTAACAGATACTAAAACGTCAATCTATCTTTCTTTTTGGAAACGTTGTCACAGCTTGGAGATTTGTAATCCACTGCTTCAATACAGGGTTGATGGAGCAAAATGAGTAAGAAAGTTTAAATTAACCTACAATCATTCCCATTTGCCATCCAGAATGGAAGTAAAATCTTCTCCTACGGCTGAGTATTTTAGCCATAATAATATTTATGTTATCATAAGTATAAAATAATCGTAATGGAAATTGGAATAGAATAAGACAGAAAAAAATGTTTTGAAAAGACGAAAGGTTTGATAGAATTAATCTAAAATGAGAATTATAATTGGGGGGAAAACTGCATTTGTTAAAGTGGACATTAAGATCGGCTACTTCTTAAATCTTTTTACTTTGTCACTTTATTCTCACGATGTTTTAATTTTCACCTAGCAATATTATGATTTTATTGTAATAAAATAACTTATGACAATATTTTCATATAATTATTACTTAATTTTCATAATTTCATAATATATATATTCCTACGGCCCTAATGCTCCATTATACTCTCCATCAACAACGTCTTAGTCAAGTATTCACCTTTTAAATCTAGAGGTAAGGTGCAGATTGTTGCAGTGTGTAGCGCTTGTTTACTTCCTGGTTCCTGAGCCAATCATACAGAAGTTCAGGATTTGGTATTTTATATTAGAAAGCAAGCAGCTGCCTGCAAGCATTGTTCAGGGTGCTACCTACTGTATGTGTTTTTTCTGTTGTTCTGATTTAAAAACACTAGGTGTCATTATTATTACTTATTGCTCCTTTAACTGGAAAGCTACCACAAGGTTCTGGTGACACTTCACGTAAAACACACATTGTCTTATTTTTTTCCAAAGAAATTATACATGGGATTTGACATATGCACTTTTATACGATAACAAAGCCATTGCTTACCCTTGCTGATTATATGGGGAGAAGTTGGTTGAATTACTGGGGTAACTCCCGCATAATTACTATCTGCTTTGATATGACTGATTGACTATTTGACTTGTATTATATTGCAGTATGGATTGAAATACTAAATGTAATATTATTAGAGAGAGGATAAGCTATTTAAGCCAAAAAATCTGAGCAGGTAACATTAAAACAAATAGCTAACCAGGAGGACCCGGTGCAGCCAATACAGGCCCTTCCACAATCAGCATCATTGTTATCAGTGGAAAATACTCAGCAAATAACACAGCATTAGGTTTTGATTTTAAAAAGCTGTCAAAGAAAACTATATTACACATTCATATCTTTCATAGATGTTGATGTAGTTTTTTTTTTCACCTTCAGCCAAAAGTAAATGAGAAAAGCATCACTCAAAATATAATGATAAAGAATTATTTTTTTTTAAAGATGTTTTTTACTTGTAGTTTATTTTAAAAACATGCAATTGAGAATGATAATAAAACTAATCTCCACCCTTTTTTCAAAAATTACATTAATCATTCCCTTCTTTTGCAGGCTGATCAGCCTTTATCCTGTTATGATCCAGTTTCTGTCCACTAATCCTTAGCTCTTTCCACACATTCACCATCACACACAAGTCTGGACTCCAGCAGGACTGCTCCAAAACATGTTGCACTGATGATTTTGATAGATATATATCTTTCTTTTTTTTTCTTTTTTTCACCAGAGAATGAATGTCTTCAAATTAATGGTTGGAATGTTTTTTTAAACAAAAGGGCGGAAAGTAAATGTAATCCTAATTATTTTTGACAGATTTAAAGGTAAAGACTTAAATATTGACTGTAAAAACATTTTTGGAGCATTGTTTAAAATAGGAGAAATTTTAGATGTACAGTATAATACAGTATACAGTATAAAACTTTCCTTTTTGATAAAGATTATAGTCAGAGTGGCTCAGATTATCCTGAGCTATTTCTATGGTTATGCTGCTATAGGCTTAGCCTGCCGGAGGACATAGGTACCCCTTTTCATCATTCTGCTTCATCCTGTCTCTATTCTTCCATTTTGCAGTATTTGTAAGATGAACCTCTAAATTTATGCTCTCCAATTTTTTCTCATCATAGTAGCCTATTCTGACCTGTTCCTCTTTGGCTGTGACACTATCCTGGAAGATGATGAAATATAAGCTGGGCTGCTATAATCAACACTTTAGATCAAAGATAGAGTTTGGCCTGTTTTTCCATGTTTAGTAATCATTCTCTTAAAGATATAGCTATTGGCTCAGCTTTTACTGTTACTAACTGTATGTGCTCTCTTTTTGACATGATCTTGGCATAGATGCCTGGCTTAACGGTTCATTCCTTTCACCTGTCTAGCTCCGCCCTGTTTCTCATCACTGTTCATCTGTGTCACCTGCTCTTGTCTCTATTCAAATTTCTTGCTCCCAGTCATCAGTACCAGATTTTTCAAACCATCTGTGAGAGTTCTCTAAAGTACCTTGTTTGTTGTTCTTATTCCCTACTCCTGACCAGTTCTACCTTCAAACCTTTGAGCCTGCCTGTTCCTGTTTCGGATTTGTTTGCCTGACCTGCCTTCAGACTCCTGCTGGTTTCTGCCGGTGGACTGAACCTGGAACTGTCTCCTGACTTTGACTTGGATTTTCCCTTCGGAGCTCTGATCTTCTGGCCTGGACTCCTGTTGACCTCTTTTAGACGAGCTTTGCCTTCTGAAAACTCCTTCCTTCCTCCGTCCGCTTAGAGTTTCTCATCAGCCAATTTAGCAGCCTTCTAGGCTTTGGCTCCTCAAACTCTTTTGGCGGCGTCTGTGGGAGATCATCCGGCTGGATTCCACTCCTTCTTCTGGGCAGAGACAGAACTCTAAAACCAGGTTAGTGACTCAGATGTTCGTAATCGTCCTGCGTCAGATTTACATGGTCACTAACCTGATATTTCCCTCTACAGAGATTCCGGCCTTTGACGCCCTACCTGCTGAGTCACAGATCCGACGTCAATTGATAAACGCTTTTTTGAACCACATCTGTCGGTCTGCTTCAAATTCTGGGTCCTTAGTTCTGAGCCTTGAGACTTTTATCTCTTTTGGCATGAAATCCGGCTCAGGGCTCATCTGCTTAACATCAGTGCTTCTTCTTGAAACCATACTAGGATTCAACAGAAGGCCGCTCATACTTAGTCTAGTCTGTTGCTGGTTTCCTTGTGTTTTTCCTCTTCAATGTTGGTGTGAGAGATTGCTGTAAATTCAACAATACAATGCAAGGAAATGTCTACTGTCGCAGCATGCTCATCCAATAAGAACATTTCTTAAAGTCAAGGCCCTTATGCAAACAGTTGGTTACCCTTAGATAACTTTTAAAAAATCTGAATTGAATTGTATCTGTAAAATGCCTTGAGATGATATTTCTTGTGAATTGGCCCTATTTAAATAGACTAAAGAAATTATTGAAGTATTTCAGCTATTATGGGGATTTTCAGTCAAAGTGACAAATACCCCCTTAATAATTCTTCCCTGTCTTGAGCTGAGCTTGAAGCTGAGTAAAGGTGTTTTACTAACTCTATTCATTGATTTCAAATGTAGCGAAGCAAAGCTATTATGATCAATATAATTGCCTCTTTATCTAAATAAAAGCAAACAATGTTGGCTTTAGTTACCTTTTTCTGTCTCTGATTTAAGTGTTGTATTTTTAAAAATAGGATTTGGTCAGAATCTGACACTGCTGCTCCAGATGGGTAGGTTAGACATGAGAGCCAAAGGACACACTTCGTATTTTTCTGGCTGTGGGTAGCTCTGGTGTCCAGGGAGTGACAGGGGAGTACCTGCATAATGGTGCAAGATGTGTGCAAGAAGGTGTGTTATTCCATGGTTCCCTACCCACGCTGTTTGTTGCTCCTTGAAACCGGAGACCCTACTGTGTTTATAGGTGGGTCTGTGTAGGTGTGCAAAGATTAATCAACGTTGGATTTCTAACTATCTCTGATACTGTAAAACTTTTTGCCATATAATAGACAAAACAACTCAGAACAAGAAATAAAACCACCAAGTCAATGCCAGATTGTCTCTGAGCAACCGAAACGCTGTATTAACTGCAGAGGGGGTGCAAGGGCAGACCCCCCAAAACCCCCCTAAACGAGCCTGCTGAGTGAGGAAAAAGTGACAAACGGTCATTCATCTGCACCTGGGAGCACAGAAACACATCTCAATGTGTACAAAGACACTCTTCTCTGACATTCAGGCATGCAGACTGCAGACATGAACTTTAACACACTAGTCTGAGAGTAAAGCCGAACACCCCACCCCCCCACACCCCCATCCCTGGGCACATGGCCAACACAGTATGAGGGAAATACCTCTGCCGCACCCTGAAGCCTGATCTAGAACAAGACCACATCAATGCACCCCAGCACAAGGAGGCCATTATGACAGAGAATTTATGTTTCCTATAATCAGTATTAATGCTGCCATTTCATATGCAGTTGAATGGAAATATGGGATTTATTCAGTCTTTACATGCCTGTAAATTGTTTCTCGCTAAATTAAGGTTTGCAGAGCAAGGAAACATTTTTCACAATTTGCAGTTATAACAAACTTCATTATACTTTATTAGGATTTTATGTGGTAGAACAGCAAAACGTAGTTTATTTACCTAATCATTTAGAGTAATCTAAGGCCGCGTTTCTCAAAGTGTGTGGCGCGACCCACTGGTGGGGAATTGAGACGTGACAGGTGGGGCGCGCCAAGTTCCGGTGTGTGTGTGTGTGACTATAAATGTAGAACGTGTGAGAGCAAACTGTCCTTATAGCTGTATGTTGCCGCTTTTTAGACCAATCAAACCCACAAAGTAATCATTAATAGCCTACATGCAGTCTAATTAAAAGAACATTAGATATGAGAAAAATTTCACCTGGAACTGAAGTGCCAAAATAATGATTGACGTGACGTCGGCATATTATTTGTAACGGAATAAACTTTCGCGCCCCAGTGTTGCCAACTCAGCGACTTTGTCGCTATATTTCAGACCCCTTCAGCGACTCTTTATCAAAAAAGCGACTAGCGACAAATTAGCGACTTTTGGAGACTCTTACGTGAAAGCACGTATCGTTCCTTTTCTTGTCCTCCAGCGGCAGGTGCTGCCGTGGGGCGCCTCCTCCGTCCCAACCCCGTTCTCCCCCGCTATCGCAGGAGTCCCTCTCAGCGCTGCAGAGACACAGCATGTTTACCCTCAGCGTCCAGACTGCAAATAAAGCGCACATGCGCCGGGATTGGCGGCGCAGGTTGATCATAATTAACTGAATTTGAAATATTTTATCTTAAATAAATAGGACCAGTTTATTGAAATGACGTCTGACTCCACCCTGAAGCTCAGGTTTAATGCTCAGACTCATAGTGAATTCTGGTTTGGAGTGGAGAGGGAGTATCCACTCATCGGGCAGAGAGCTGTGTGCATTCTTCTTCCCTTTGCCACATCATATCTCTGTGAGATGGGCTTTTCAACTGTTGCTTCACTGAAAACAAAATACAGATCTCAGCTGAACATTGAGCATGACTTGAGAGTGGCAGTATCAAGCTTGCAACCCCGTTTTGAGAAACTGTGCAATGCAAAACAGGCTCATTGCAGCCACTAATGCAGGGATAAATAGACCTGTATTGCCAGATGGATTTCACTTCTTTTCTTTTATTAACAGATTGCAGAGTGGCACTTTAATTTTTTCTATCATGGGGCTGGATACAAATTTTGACACAGCTGCATTTTTATTTTCTTTATTTTTGAGCTTGCTGTTATTTGATGTAGATAGTTTGTATTTAGATACTACTTGTTACTTCAATAAAATTGGAACATTTTAAGATTGTTGCACATTTCATTAGCATTGTGTTGGGGCGATGGGGACAGGCGGGGCTTGAAAATTCCCCCTTGTCCAAAGTGGGGAATGACAGAAAAAGTTTGAGAACCACTGATCTAAGGTATGTTTTCCCAGCCTCTACAGACTGAACATTTTGCTATTTGTTATTGTAAAAGAGCTCAAGCTCCGGATAGAGCTCATCTATGAATGGTGGTTTTTATATGCTGGGATTGAAGTAGGTCTGGACCTTGACTGGACCGTTCTAACAAATACTGAATAAAAGATGGTTCCCCAGGTGTTTTTTTCATTAAAACGGTAAGCTGAGGGTGATATGCCTTGTTAATTTTCCTCTACATATAGTGTTCTCAATGCAGACCAAGAGGTTAATTTTGATCCCCTCTGACCATGGCAGCTTCTTCAAAGTTTTCTCCTCTACATTGTTTCTAAAACACTGGAAATGGGATCCCCTCTGGTTTGCTTTTAACAAAGCTCTTCTACTTGCCCCTCTTTTACAGAGACCAAATTTGAGGAATTCACAACAAATAACTTATCTGTCAACAGATTTAGCCGCCTGAGCAGTGTAACTCTGTTGCCTCAGCTTTTTAGGTTTGTGAGCATGTTTCAGTACATCTCCACTTATGTCATTGATTTTCAATCTTTAGATTACTGACAGGACAGTGTGGTGTTAGATGTTGAAGGTATAGTATTTTCATAAACACTGCTTTAACTTAACATATTTCCCACTGACCAAAATGCCATGTCTTCACTATTTTTATTTGTATAAGACTTTGAAAACCTTACAGATATTTCTCCAAGCATCACTGCTTGCAAGATTTCAGTTTTTAATGTGAAAAATAACTATGATTCAACAGAGAATAAGACTTAAAAGTATAATCTGAATCATAAGAAGAAAAACATATATTTATAATTTCACGTATTTTACTGCATCAGTTGCATTAGAGATAGTCAACTTGAACTCCTTTTCTCCACTTGCTGGTGCTCCTTAATGAGTCAGGAGGTTTTAAGATATCAGTAACCATACTCTCAGGTTCGATTTGTTTGCAGTTTGTGTTGTGTAAGACCAGAAGTCATCAAGCATTCGATGATCTTGTTCTAAAAAAGTTGTTTATCTGCTCAAGAAATTTCAGAGGTCACCATTTATCTCTTATTCTTTCAGATAACCAAGCATGCATATTTGTCATTATGCAGGTTTCAACGCAAATGTTTCACGCAAACTTGCGTCTTACGTCTTTGCAAAATGTGATGCTGCAGATGTGATCTATGGTGCACATTGCACGTTTGATCTCGACAGCTTTGAATCAGTTTGCATGAGAGATTAGTCAGATTCAAGTGTCTTAAGGTTAAGCACTGCAAACAGTGAGGTCAGATGTGTAAGGATTGTTCTTGTGCGTGAGAAGGATGTTTAGATATCAATTTTGCAGTCCTTTTTCAGAGCAGCAGAAGGTGCCTGCAAGTGTGCAATGACACTACTGTGCAATGTTTTTGTCTCATTCCTCTGTCATGGACTGGCGACCTGTCCAGGGTGTACCCCGCCTCTTGCCCGTAGACAGCTGGAGATAGGCACCAGCAACGCTCGCGAACCCACTTGGGATAAGCGTGTTAGAAAATGGATGGATGGTCTCATTCCTGTGATCGATGCTTCCTGTTCTTTAGATTGATTTCAGCTTCAGTTTATGATATAGATCAACCAGTTATTGAAACTAACATACAGCTGTTTGATACAAAATGCATAACGACAATATCAACTACATCAATCACTCTTAAAATCCAACTTTATATTTCTACATGGCAAATAATTGAGTAAAAAAAAAGAGTAATCATGCATGCTGCTGCTTCTGTGTAATTGAATCATTAATTGAAAGTGGCTTTCAAACCATGTTGTTCCCATTCTGACCAAACAGCAGCCATTGTTTACAGATGAGGGCAGCTAATGTTGTACATGCTTGTTATAGAGTTCACATACCAATGATTCCTGAGTGAATATGTTTCCCTGTGTTTAAATGCCATTGAAATGTTACTTTGGTCTAAACCTGACAAGAAGACACTCATGGGAGGCCAACACCATCTAATGTAGCTTTTAAAGTTTAAATTTGCCAATGCATGACATCATGGTGCTCTGTTTACCTGACATGAGGCTGAACGCAGTGAAAATTTCCCATGACCATACTGTCATGGTTTCATCCTGTCCATTCATGTTAGGATTATCAGGTTAGTGTTACTACAAGTCATTATTTAAGGAAAGCTTCAAAATGGGTTTCTTTCTGATGCACCAGCTCATTTGTATGTACATCCTTTAACACTGCAGCGTAATTTTGTTTGCAGTGTTTCGCATTTAGCAGAGCCAAGCATTGGGGGAAATAGGATTATTCTGTCACAAATTCTACATCAAAAAGAAAACATCAAAGCGGTATGACAACATAAACCTCTTACTAATACGGTTTTATGACACCAAACAGCAGGCTTATGAATTGATGCCAGATCCTCAGCTGACACCAGCTTCTTAGTGTTTCACTGGATACAAGCCATCAAGCTCCATCTTTTTATACTAACCCACTTAGCCATGAATTAAGATTTACACTATATGCATCAATTTATAAATATTTTTATTGCAGTCTTTTGAATTTGGTTTTTAATGTGTCATTCTTATCATGCAGACAGTTTGGTTAAAAGGTTTTCCATCAAAGGAAACCAAGTAGACTGTATTGTGTCATTGATTGATAGAATCAAATCCTCCTGGATTAGCATGTAGCAACAGTAGAAAGTGGTTTTCTTTGTCGTTTATTTCGATTCTCTCTTATCTAGGTATGCATGTAGCGACCGCGGCTGCAGAAATTCCTGTGCAAAATAGTTGTGTCATTGCCTACAAGCAATCATAAAAAATAAAAATCTTTGATAATTTATTAATTGCAGCTTAAAGAGCAAAGGTCTCTCTAATAATTTAGAGTACACAAACCTGTTTTACTATGCACAAGTCACAAATTAACTCCTCTGCCCTGTTTGTGCAAATTGCTATTTGCCTAATACAAACTGCATTGAACCTTACCACTATATAATCTACATAATATCATATTTGTCCTTGCACTGCTCTGAACTACCAAATCAATGCATTTTGCACCATGGTTTTCTCCCACGCTGTTTACATTTGATCACTGCTACACTTTATGAAATGAAAATATTAATTTCACTGCTAAGCTGCTGCTCATTTACTGCCTGAAAGCTGTAGAAAACGAAATTTCATTAAAGTTGTATAAGTCTAAGTCATAACTTCTGTAAGTAGATGAGAGACCCGAGCAGAACGATTAAGAGTCATGAAAATGCTATGAGATCAATCAAACAAAAAAACCTCAGTAATCGAAGTGACTTTTTTTTTTTTTTGCAGTCAGGGTCACCACCTCATCACCACTTGTTTCAGCCTGGACATGCCTTGTTAGCATCATCCATGGCTTGTGGATTGGCCTGCTCTGTCTTAAACTAGAGAAACGCTTCATCTGAGCTTCTTCTTTGAGAAAAATGTCAGTTTGACTGGATGGAAATGCTCCTGAATTGACAAAATGTTTTAAGGGGTGTTTTATTTTTTTTTATAAAAGCCAACAAGTACACCACCTTGGAACCTGTTTCTTATTTATTATTCTCTCTCTCTTAATTTCAGTCCTTATGACTTCCTTTTTACCTAAGGTTGTCATTCAGAACTCTTTTTAAAGTGCTTTATATAAATCAATTATATTTAAATCTAATTCTGTGTAGTTTTATACAATTCTAAGGATGCCTCTATACAGCCTTTGAGCTCTTTCAACTGAACAGTGGTGACTTATTATAAGATATTTAACAGCACCCCTTCCTATTTTCCTACAGGTGTTTTTGTGTGTTTTGGGAGAAAGTTGTTTACACACAAATTTCAGTTACCTTTAACTCTCAGTGTCCGGGTCTAGGATAGATAACTGCAGTTCAAACAGTAAACTGAGCAGAGACAAGCAAAAAATAAATACGACATTAACTAGATTTAAAGTAAGAAGAATGAAAGTGCCTATATGTGTCTTTCTTTGAGTTGAGTGGATCCCAGTTTTAAAGAAGTTAGATCAAGTTTTTTTTTTTTTTTTGCAGTTATTGAGGAATCAAACTTTAGAGACTCTTTTAAAATGTTTACTCCAATGAAGATAGGAGAAGTCCAGATCTAGAGGTCTAGATCCAAGCAATGTCTTTGTTTACTGAGGGGGTAATGGGAGTTTGGCTACCTGGTCCACATATGATACAGTATGTTCTTCTGGAGCAGCCATTTGGCATGTACCTCTGGGTATTTTGTTGGGTTGTTGCTGATGAGGGCAGACCAGTGCTTCGAGCCGTTTCCAGGTCCAGGTTGGACTTCAGGCATCCCTCTTGTCCCGGTTCTGTTCATAATGTTCACAGGCAGGATTTCAAGGTGTAAAGTTTGAGATTAAGGTGGGTTTTTTTGTGAGACCCTGTTACAACGGATTAAATAAGCTTCCTTTATAGGCTGGAGTGGAGTGATTGAGGTGGTAGGATCAAGAGGTCACATTGACACCTCCCTTAGGTGGTTATCTGGGTATGTCTAACTGGGGGGAGACTAAGAGGCAATCTAAGAATTTGCTTGAGTGACAATATTTCCTTTTTTACCCCACACCTATCTTTGTACAACAGCAGGCAATGTGGAGAGGTGTTGTTCTTCAGAGGTAAACTTAAGTCGTTCCATTCAGCTCTTTTAAAACAAAACTTGGAAAAGTGGTCACCTCCTTTGTTTGCATTGCTCATTTCACAAAACATTCAGAAACAACAAAAAGGCTCATTGATCCTTAAATCTCTTTTAATTTTTTTTACGTGTTTTTTGCTATTAGGAATAAAAAATGTTCACACTATTAATTTCTAAACCCGGCTTTTATACACAGCAGACATGCAGTCTAAAGTCCTAATTAGTTTGCAAACCAAGATGCCTGCACTTTAGACATTTAATGTGTCTCAGTTAGATCATATCAATGCCAAGGCACAGCAATCGCCTCATGCAGCGTGCAGCTGTGGCCTCATGCTTTCATCATGTCCTGCACCACTTTGTCATTCCTGAAACCTACAGTCAGTGCACTGCTTTTCTCTGAAACTGAGTGATCTAAGTTTTCTAGTTAATCAAATGTCAGAGCGGATCCTGATTACAGGACCCCTGGGCCAGTTACTTCACCATCCACAGACATTTGTACTTTGGACAAATTCCAGTACAGATGAATTGGGGTCAAGATTTTCTCCCTCTCAATAAAATCCAACAGGTTGATCCAAGGGTAGGCATAATAAGCACAACCAACACTGGAATCCTAATTAATTTCTTTTGTTTTACACATTAGAGTTGTGTAGAACGTATAGCAAAATGTAATAGGATAAGAGGCAGAGCATTTATTATAGGAAAATACACCTGATTTCAGTCTTTTAGGACATTTTGACCTAACAATGGCCTTGGAAGGAGGGTGGGTCACCAGAACCCTATCGATTTTTAGAATTATTGGAGAACAAAGTGCCTCCCAGGCGTAGAGATAAACCTAAGTGATTTTAGAAGTCATGCATTATTTATTCAGGTCTTCCACGTGTGCTGTTTCTGGGCTGGTCTGACTTCAGCTCTCTGATTGGACACACCTTCTTCTCAGCAGCAGTCCCCATCCAAGCGGGGCGGGACCAGGCCGGCCTTCACACCCATGATTGGTCCAAATTAAGAACATTTTGCAGCTTTTTCTGCTTGGCTTCCAGGAGCACTTTGTGCGTTATAAATACAGCCTGCAGCCGCGGAAGCAAAATGAGCATTAACACCCGAGGGATCGGCGAACAGTCTCCAGCGCTCCATGATCTTTGTGAGGAGGATGCTGCAGCAAGCGCTTCGAGTGTCCGTCCGCAACGCCTTCCCTCTGGTCAAGTGGATGGAGAGGTGGGCTGAGGGCGCAGCTGCGCCTCAGCTGGGGAGCCCGCTGCAGGCGGTGAAGACCCTGGACGACATGCCGGGGCCCACCGCTGCAAGCTTCGCCTGGGACCTGTTTGCCAGGGGTGGTCTGTCCCGGCTGCATGAGTTACAGGTAAGGGGGGAGAGAAGAATGACGTTCATGCAAAGGTGGTTCTGGCTCAAAAGGTGCACCAGGAGAATCCCTCCTTCATCCTCCAGCACACTCAGGGATTACTCTGCATCTTAAATTTGACCAAATTATTTGGTGTAATAGTTTCATTCACCCAAAATTATATTTAAAACTGATGAACATGGCCAGGTGTTAAGGCTGGATGATATTGGCCAAAACTTTATCACAATACCATCTATTTCTTCATTTTATATTGGTACAAACAAAAACTCTCAAGAAGCCTGTATGAACTTATGACATTTATTTTACAATGTTTATAAAACTAATCCAATATAGCAGAAATATTTTCTTTAAAAATCAGACCACGTAAAATGACAAATGCTGCAACCAGAGCCTGTAATGTATACTGAAATATCAAAAAATATCATATTACTGTTGGTGAATAGAATTATATTCATGAGTATATTACCATCTTTTGCTTTTTTTGTTTATACTTTATCTTATAATGGATTTTGGAAGAAATACAGATTAATAACCTCAGCAGAGCTTAACTTAGACTTAGACAGATTTTATTTGTCATTTTGTTTACGCAAGTGTAAAACAAAAAGAAATTTCGTTTGGAACAGCTCTCTGGACAATTTCATCTTTCTTTTTAAAGTGCAGCCTTAAAAAAAATATATATATATATATAAAAAACTGTAAATTTACAGTTTTAATCTTTTAAAGATGCTGATGAGGGAATTAAACCATTTGATGCAGGTGTATTGGAGAAGGGATGTGTCTGTGGCTTTCAAAGATTGGACTCAGGTCCCCCTGCTGAGAATAATTTAGTTTGAGCTAAAATTGAGGTATTTGAAGCATGAAAACAAGCTTATAATATGAAATAACCCCCCTTTTTAACTAAACATTACAGATCCCATTTAAGCTGCCAAAAAAAAAAAAAAAAAAACATTTATTGAATATTTACTTAGAGTATTTTTCTTTTTAGTATTCCTGGTGCTCCCTGGGTAATGTTGACCTTTGCAGTGAACAATATTGCTTATATTTAAAACTGACAGTAGTTGAAATCATAGTCTAAATGCAACTTAGTCATCTGGTGTAATTTTATTGTGGTTTGGTTCAACAAAATGATAAGTAGATTAGTTAACTGAAGGAGTGGGTCATGGAGGAGTGCATTTCTGAAACCCTTACAACTTTTTTTTAAGGCTCTGTTTAAAATATATTTATTTTTGAAGCTGAGCTGCACCATTCATATGTTGGATATCAAAATGTCAAAAAAATTTAGTTGAATACTTAGAAAATCTGGAATTTTTTTGTCCATTTCTGTAAGAACAATAAAACTATGGATTTCAATCTTTTTGGACTAGAGATGCTGAATGCCTTGCATTTCATCTGATATGGGAAAAGAAACAATGCTTAAAGTCCTGTGCTTTGATGCAGAAATAGGATAGATCCTGTAAGCCTGCTTATTTCTGTTAGTTAAAGCTTCTAAATGGATCCAAAATATTTAAAAATCAAAAATGTATTGAATGAAGTTTATTCATTCATCCATCCATCCATTTTCTGTCCTGCTTATTCCTGCTGGGTTCGCCAGGGTGCCTAGCTCCAGCTGTCTATGGGCGACAGGCGGGGCACACCATGGGCAGGTTGCCAAAAAATCATTCACACACTTTTTTTTTTTTTTTTGGGAGAACTGTGAGAGGAAACTGGAGTACCCAGAGAGAACCCACACAAGCTCAGGGAGAACATGCAAACTCTATGCAGAAAGACCCCAGGCCGGGAATCAAACCCGGAACCTTCTTGCTGCAAGGTGGCAGTGCTACCCACTGTTCAGCAAGTTTATTTAAATTAAATTTAAAGTTGAAAGAAAACCTAAAGTGGTTTTAGCCATAAGACACAAAAACCAGGCCTTTACAATAATTAATAAATCAATAAAACGCATAATAAATTGAAATGAGCTCAATCATTTGTTTGCATACTTATTTTTCCATGTTTTCCTCTCTTTCAACTAAAGAGTCTGGATGAGAGAGTGTTTAACTATGCTGAATCTGTCTCCCCTAGTCATTTCTTCAGCATAGCTATTATACTAGAGCCTTGTGTCAGATGAGTATAAAGCCAGAGCAATGCTAACTGAAATTTTGAGAAACTGAGATGGAATTGGTTTCAAAGCAAAACGCAACAGGTGCAGTATGGGATCACTCTGGATTTAAACCTGAATAACAATATTATTATTTATTGCAATAATTTCTGGGACCATTGCTCCTCCGGCTAAAATGTATTATCCTTACAGCCCTACACGCAGATGCACTTTTATTTGAAACAGTTTCATCTTGATATACCTTTTCGGAAAACTGAAATTCTGAACAGGAAGTGTTTTATCCTTCATCAAAGTAGTAATTGTGAAATAATTTCTGCAATGAGGGACTCAAACTGTCATTCACTTCCACACAGATTAAGCCTCACAGAGATTTTTATAATTGCCCCACCTATACAAAACAACTTATATAGGTCTAAAAGGTTTTCATTTCTATAAATGTACAGGTGTGCTTTAAAGTTTACATACCCTTCCATTAAACACAGAAAGAAGCATATATTGATCAGATAATTAAATATTTATATTATTCAGATATCAGAAGCTTATTTGCTCCTTATTCAACTCCTTTATCAAAATTACTATGCATTTAGACTGTTTGGGTACTGGGGCCAAGCAATGGTATTGCTCAAACTAGCCCACCCTTGGTCCTGACCCAGGACTCTCCTGATTGTTCTAAAATAAATTTTTATTCCAAGCTGTGAAACGTGTTCTTCTGCAAAGCGCTTCTTAACACAGAATTATGCCAAAGACGCCATGCATTTTTTAAATACAAGCTATTTAATCTTAGCCCCCTCCTTTTTTTTTTTTCACTAAAGTCCCCCAGGCATCCAATTTTATGCACTGCTTTAATCTAAGAGGGACTGCAAATCAAAAGAGCGCATTAAGAGAAGACGACAATTATCTCATAGCCTGCAGGCTTTTTTATACACCTCTCTCTTTTTCCCAGATGGAAGGAGTTCAACGCTATGGCCCTATGTGGAAAGCGAGCTTTGGCCCCATCCTGACGGTTCATGTGGCAGATCCGGCCCTTATAGAGCAGGTGCTGAGGCAGGAGGGCCAGCACCCAATGCGATCAGACCTGTCATCCTGGAAGGACTACAGAAAGCTCAGAGGACATCACTTTGGACTATTGACAGCGTGAGTGTTGCAGCTTTTGCAGTCTCACTTTTCTACCTCTTGTAAACACCAATGCTTCCAGTTAAATTTTACTTTGAATAAAATTAGTGGCTGCTTTGTACCAATCAAAGCAGCTAGGTATAATTTATTGGAGAAAAGTTGATCAGTGTAAAAAAAAAAAAAAAAAAAAAAAAAAAAAAAAAAAAAAAAAAAAAAAAAAAAAAAAAAAGTGCTTGTTGCAGGAAGAAGTAGTAGTAAATCACAGATATCCTTTTTATTTAGGCTTCATAGGGATCTAAAAAAAGATGGAAATGGTTCCTACAGAGGATTGTTAATGTACTGCATCATGATAATATTTTATTTCCCTCAAATTTTTGGGTAATATCCATTTTAGGAAAGGAACCCCAGAGCAGGAGGACAGTACCGCCATTATTACGATCTAAAATAGAAGTTTGTTAATTCAGCTGAAATTTTTCATCTTTTTCTTTAAACTCCTACTATTTCTAATCTTAAGACAATTTCCAGTTTTGATTTAAATTCAAATTTTAAGCATCATTTCATAAAAGACCCCCTAGAGATTTTCCTTGTTTACTTGATCGTCTATATTTTTGCCTAAAAGGTTTTGTCCAACTAAGAAAAAAAGTCCACACCTGTAGTTTTGAAGGAAACTTAAAACTTAGTTCCAAAGACTTATTACCTGTGGTTTATCTGCTCCCCTGACGACTTCTTGCACAGTACTCTTGCATATCAGACCCAACTAAGATTAACAAACTGGACTCATGCAAGAATCCTATTCTCTATGCCCCACATAGAACAACATCCATTTTAAGCAAAATTAGGCCCACATACACATACTTAGCTGGATGTTATCCTTATGTCAATATTAATGGTGTCTTTATGCCTTCAGTGAAGGGGAGGAGTGGCAGGCGGTGAGAAGTCTCCTAGGGAAGCACATGCTGCGGCCGAAGGCTGTGGAAGTCTACGACACAACCCTAAACGGCGTCGTCAACGATTTGATTGCCAAACTTCGCCTTCGCCGGTCTCCCCAAGGCCTCATTACCGACATCACCAGCGAGTTCTACCGCTTCGGCCTTGAGGGTAAGGTCTCCCCCTCTGTTAGAGGGAGAAATGAACTACCATCCCTGACCATTAAACCCACATAGATGTTGCAGTCATGGGGTGAATGTTTAAATAAAAGAAGCTAAATACCTGCAAGGTTATATAGATATAGTTAATGTAGACTGAGCTAATTCAATCTTTTTTCTCTCCCTCTCTTTTAGGTATCTCCTCAGTGCTGTTTGAGTCCAGAATCGGGTGCCTGGACACATTAATTCCCGAGGAGACAGAGCGTTTCATCCAGTCCATCAACACCATGTTTGTGATGACTCTCCTCACCATGGCCATGCCCAGCTGGCTCCACCAGCTGTTCCCTAAACCCTGGAAAATATTTTGCCAGTGCTGGGATTACATGTTTGAATTTGGTAGGTGAGGCAAATAGAGGAACTAATCTTAACCAAGAGCCTTTTGAATATTCCTTTAAAACAATCTAACAGCTAAGAGGCTTGAACTGATTCTTGAGGATATTGTAAAGAAGGATCTAGATAAGCTTCAGCTTGAAGGGGAAAACATAAGCAAATACTTAAGTACAACATTGTGTGTGTTGTTCTTCCCAACTCCTATTGGCTGTTGAAGACTTGCACGGGACTTATGTAGAGCTGGGGGATCAAACTTTTTTTTGGAAATAATCACCCTAGATCAAGAGTTGACCGATTAAAGTCTTAAACCCTCACGAACTACAAGATCATCTACCCTGAATTTCCAGTCAGTGTGTGTTTTCAGGATCACTTTATCTGACGTGCTAGAGAAACTTTAGTAAATCCACCATACCCTTGCCTTAACTGCTTTCGTGTCCTTTCTTTTGCAGCCAAAGGTCACATCGACCAGCGCTTGACAGAAGAGGCTGAGAAGATTGCCAGAGGGGAGAAGGTGGAGGGCCGATATCTCACCTACTTCCTTTCTCAGACAGGGTTACCCATGAAGACTGTCTACAGCAATGTCACAGAGCTGCTTCTTGCCGGTGTCGACACGGTAAGACCGTTTTTTTTTTCCTTCCTGTTTTTTGTTTCTCTCTCTCTTATTCCAGACGTAGTCTTTAACAGCCCTGCTTATTTTGGTCTCAGATCTCTAGCACTATGTCATGGACTCTGTATGAGCTGTCCCGGCACCCAGAGATCCAGGCTGCACTCAGGGAGGAAGTTTTGACCGTTCTGGATGGTCGGACAGTACCAGACGCCACTGACGTGGCTCGCATGCCTCTCCTCAAGGCCACAGTCAAGGAGGTGCTCAGGTATACCACAGTTTTACCGATTTATATACTGATAATATTCCTTGTAAATTCCCTTGTTCTGACGTTGTTTTGTTTGTTTTTGTTTTTTCAGGCTATATCCAGTTATTCCTGCTAACGCTCGCGTCATTGCAGAAAAGGACATCCAGGTTGGAGGCTACCTAATTCCTAAAAATGTGAGTCACAATACAACATCTCCCATGAAATCCAATGTGAAGATACCTTTAGTGTTTAAACAAACTGGTTTAGCATCAGATCCACAAAGAGCAGAGTTCTGCAACTTTTAGATGCTTCCCCAGGTGACCGTTATCACAGATCCTTCCTCCCAGCAGCTGTAAGACTTTATAACCATCACTGTTCCCAACAACTTCAAAAAGTTGTTACATTCATTCTGATTTTGCAGTTTCTACCTTAGTCAGTTAAATAACATACTGCTGTCATTTTGCACATCCCTGATGTTGCTATTTTCCACCATCCATTACTGTAAAAATGTCCATAGCTGTATATTGATTATTTATTCTCCAGGTTCACAGTGTTTTTATTGTTAAAACACTTTACAGTACAGTAGTACAGTACAGTAACTCTTCACTATTATGTTCTTATAAATTTTTCTAAGGTCCACATTAGTGTGGCCATTTTTTCTATGATCTTTTTGCTGCTTTAAAACAGCAGAATTTCCCCATTGTGGGACAATAAAGGAATTTTCTTCTCTATTTTATTTTGTTCTAGTACAATACAAATGAACTAGAAATATGAAAGGCCTCCTCAGCAATCTGTCCACCTCTACAAAGTCCTGATAATGACCCAAACATTTAATTTAGGTGTGTTTAAGCATTAAAAAAAGTTGCATTAGTCTGCAACTGGAATAGAAGGACCCTAGATTAGATCCAAAGGGGGCAGTTCAGCTCCTAATGTACCAGCGTTCTGCATTTATTTGATTAAACCAGGTGTGTCAAACTGGTTCCAGAAAGGGCTGTGTAGCTGCAGGTTTTCTTTCCAACCAACCAATAGCACACCAGACTCCAGTCATCTCATCAAGTGAGTTTAGTATTAACCTGATGACTCTCATTACCTCAACTTGGTGACTAATTTTATCAAGCTTCATGATCGAAATTGAAACAAGCAGGATAGTGACTCTTTATGGACTGGAGCTGCACATCCTGAGCTAATTCCACTTCATTGCCACAAAAACAGGGAATATTTTACATGCACTGAAGAACTTCATGCCTAATATGAAAACTCCAACAGTAACTATAGGAATGTGATGATCTTCTGAATCTTGATGTAGATGACATTAATTGTATCACCACCTGCTGACAGAGCTACTGGACAGAGTAGGAAAAAAAAATCTGTTTTTAGAGAATATCCTGCGTGATCTCACCTTCTACCATTTATTATGCATCTGACTGTATCTTCTTCTCCTCCAGACCTTGATCACCCTGTGCCAGTTTGCTACGTCACGCGACCCGGCCGTGTTTTCGAATCCAGATGATTTCCATCCCCATCGTTGGTTCAACAAAGATGAGGCTCATCACCCGTATGCCTCGGTTCCCTTCGGCGTAGGAAAACGCAGCTGCATAGGTCGCCGAATTGCTGAGCTGGAGCTTTACCTCGCTCTTTCACGGGTAATTTAGCTTAGCTTGTTCCAGTGTTTTCCCTGCATTAATGATAGGTGACTTGTTGTGACTCTGTGACCTGTTAAGGTCCTCTCTTGCACAAAGCTTTAAAGGTCCTTTTTTTTGGGGGGGGGTTCGCTGGCTGAGTTCTATATATGCCATAAATCAGGCATCTTCAATTGCAGTCCTTGAGGTCTCATCTCTGGGACTTTTTAGATGTGTCTCTAATACACACAGGATTCTGTGACTGTTTACTTGAAAAGATCTTCTGCCATTTCACTCAGGTGTGGAAACAGAGACATTAAGCATTCAGAGATGAGTTTCAGCACAAGAAAACCAGTGGTGTCCAAAGTACTTAACAGTAGTACTTGATTAAAATCATTGAGTCAAATCTTACTAAACTACAAGTAAAAGTTACTCTGTCAAACATCTACTCAAGTTAAAGTATTTAATTATTGACTTTTAAAAATGCTTCCTCAAAATGTGCTGGAGTAGAAATTGCAAGATTTGATTAAAATGTACTTAATTACTTTCCAACACTGAAGAAAAACTAGCTGACAATACTTCAGTCCGTTTCTAACAGCAGTTTTACTATCATTGCCTATCATCAAGTCTATAGTATGGTGTAATGCTTCAGTTTTTCTTTGACTTATTTTATGGGAGCAGGTAAACTATGCTAAGTTGCATTAAAGCGTCTCTTTTGGCTCTGCCTTTAAAAGCCTTTCAAGCTGCTATAGCTGTTTGTGGAATATGGACTGAAAGCTTATTGAACTCCCATCTGCTCATTTCTGCAGGGAGTTTTTTTTCCTCCAATCTAGTGTAAAAATGATTGTGCTAAAGCTGCTTGCTAGATGCTTACTTCAATTAACTGTCATCTGTTGAAAAGTTATTATAAATGTTACAGAAAAGCTTTATATAGCTTCTATGCTAAAAGCTGTTCAGACACTGAAGCAGAGGCTGTAAGATGATTTTTAGATAATCAATTTGTTTTTTCAAATCATGCTTATCTGTAATTTGATAATAGTTAATCTGAGCCAACCAAATTACATTAGGTGTACCTCAGGGCTCCTTTCTAAGGCAACCTTCAGTTAACATTATAACTTTTCTTTTCTATAGGCTATTCATTATTACAATCCAATTCTAATACACTTGATCAATCCCAAAGTTAATCATTTTTAATTTCCATACATGTTTTACCTATGGAAATTATAATTCAGTTTTTTTTTCCATTCTGTTGCTATATCAATTTGGGCTGATAATATAACAAGAGGCAGCAAAGTTTATTGGCAGGTTTTGTTGAAAATAACGAATAGTCAGTAAAAATATACAGCAATATTTTATATCCGTGTCATAATAAAACAACCTCTACATATACAACAATATCCGTGCAGGGTAATAGACTACTTTATATCATGGTGTCACTGTGGGACCAGAGTCCATTGCTGTCATGGAGTCAGTTTTTTTCTTTTTTTTTTTGTACCATCAACTTTAGGTAGACAGTCAGTTTATTTGATCCCAGATTTTAAAGGTTAAAGATTGGGAACTGAGAACTAAATCATGAAACAGTGGACCAGGAAAATGGTTCATATCTCCCCAGGTCTAAAATCGATACCCTGGCTTATCTTCAGCAGCAGTAGGTGTTGCAATATTCTAAAGTTTTGTAATAGTTCATTATCAGCTTTTTTCTGCTAGGTTTATTTCTGAGTTTTTAGTGGACCATTTTTCTCTGGTTGCCTAATTAAGTTTTTTTTTTTTTTTTTATGATTTTTTCCTATTTGTTGACCTGTGTTAACTCTGTTTGACAGAAAATAATAAAAAATTAACTACAATTAGAGGATTTAAGTAATTAGACAAATCTCCTTTCTAATGAATGAACTGGATATATTCCAGGGATTTCCCCGTGACTGCCCAGGACTTGCTTGCTTGTTTCTGTACTTATTTCGAGTCACTCTGTTCCTAATCCGCATATTCTGTTCCTGCTCCCTTTAGATCCTGACCGAGTTTGAGGTGAAACCGGATCCTGAGGGTGTTTCTGTGAAGCCGATGACTCGGACTCTCCTGGTTCCTGAAAATGCCATCAACCTGCAGTTTGTTGAACGATGAACTTCTCTTCTGATCCCGACGAGTGAACGTGAGCTGTCCCCTCGCCATCCAAGCTGCCCTTTACTCGGGCCGTGTGGGGAGGACAGGCTGCTCAGGCGCAGCGCTTCGTGTCAGAGCGGGTCTTCGACCTTTGGCACAGTCTGGAGCAAAGCCCGCCTAACCTGAAGCCTGGTGCACGTCGGCCGGCACATAGCAAAGAAGAGGGCTTAACTGGCTTAGGGTTAGCAGCACATTTTGTGCTGAGAAAGATATGAAAGAGCAAACGGAAGCTTTATGTCTGCACTGTTTCTACAGAAAAATCTTTAGATGTCTAAAGTTGGACTTAAATGCTATCAGTTCAGGTTACATTTTTAAGAATGTGAGCTGTGCTCATCATAGATAATTTTCCCCAAATCTTGTAACACTTTTTTTTTTTAAGTCCAATTGGAAAATCTTGCACTATTCAGCACATATGGAGAAGAGTTTACTGCGTGCCTATTAGACAAATGTTTTATTATGAAACATTGCAGCTGACTGTATTGCAGTAAATGATGGTTGATATACTAGGACCATTACTCTTCTTTCTGTCAGGGAGGATGTTCTAAAAGGCAGCTATATAGAATATACCTGTGTAATGTTGCAGAATTCATAGGCAGAATGTCTTCATGCAGCAATTACATTGCATCAGTGCAACTGAATGATTTGTTTCAAGTTCTTTATTTTGTTACCGATATCACATTATTCTGCAAAACCACATGGATCTTACCATGGTATTTATTATGTTAAAAAAAGCCTGGTGCTGCTACTGTAAATGTAAATAAAATCTTTAAAAATAGTCTTGTTCCTGCTTTCTGTGTATATTTGGTTGTGTTGGATATTTAAAATAGAAAGTTCATTTATTTCAGCCAGTGGATTTGCTAAGTGAAACATATAGCTTATTTAGATGGATGTTTTTTGACCTTCTTTTTATTCTTATAGCCAATTAAATATGATATTTAAGTGTAGAATATTTTAATATATAAATATGGTTTTAATGAAATATGTATTACCCTTGTTAAGGTTGTTTACAAAACACTGAATCTGACACTCGAGCCTTATGGAAGCACATATTCTAATTAATTAAATCATAAGTATAGTATTTGAGTGTATGTATCTGCAGCTGATTAAGTTATAAGCCCTTTATAAATTTTTTTGATTGTCCTCAAGAAAAAAGCAGATAAACAACCAAATATAAATAAAATAGCAGACGTTTTGGGGAAAAACGTGCTTACAAGGAGCAGTTTTGTAAGTTTTGTGCAAAAGTGAAACATTTCAAGGTATTTTCAAATGAACTGAAGAGAGGTAATTGTGTGAAATGAGAATGATGCGCTCAGAAGAGTTGAAAAATGTGCCATGCATTTTTATTGCCCTTTCAAATTAAAAGCTGAAATATTTTCCCAGTTTTCTATTTCAAACCTGCTCAGGTTTAATGAGATGGGTAAAGATTCAGGGAAGTGTCTCAGATTTACATCTGGAATTTGACTAGATCATAACCCATTCCTTGTTAGTTCAGCATGTATGTTTAATGCTTTGTAAACCAAAAATTTTCTCTTGTCATGGTCCCTGATCTGACCAAAACAAAAGCTGTTCTAATTATATATATATATATATATATATATATATAATTTTATTTTATTTTATTTTTTTACAAATTATAATAGTTCTAATGTTGGTTTCATTTTTGTTGGTTTTGTCTGCGAAAGGCGCTTGTTAAATAAACTTTACACACTTACATTTTGCAGAGGATTACTTTAAATGGAAGTCCTCTTAACCATTTTTCTGTAAAGACCAAATTCTTAGAGGGCAAGCTGAATATGCTGCTCTATGCATCTCCACGGGTCGCATGGGCTCTGCACTGCTTTTCTTATAAATGTTTTTCTTCCTAAACCTATCCATACCAGTAGGCAGTCATCTCGTGGTACATTTGCAGTTTTTATTAGTATTTTTTTTTGGGATGAGGGAATACGATGTGCTATGTGAGATGTTAAAATGGTTTGGAGGACTTCAAAGCCATTTGCAAACTTCTCCACACTTTTCTCCATGACCTGCCTGCTGTGTTTATTGAATTCACAACGCTCCTTGGTCACTGATGTTTTCTAATGAATCGCTGAGAACAGCTGGGCTTATACTGGTTATACATTACACACAGATGGTGTGTTTACTAATAAGGCAACTTGCAAAAGCAATTGGTTTATTTTCTGGTAGCATTTAAAGAGGGTTGAATACAAACTTTTCAGAGCTATTTCAGATCTAGAAAGGATATTTACTCAACCTCGTATCTTTTGGAAGTAAAGTTTTGTGTATTCAGTATCTCCTCTGAACTCACATCACATTTCAAAAGAAAGAATAGAACCCCAAAAAGATTCAATACTAATTTTTTCTCTTAGGCTTCAAATAAAAAGACTTCTGACTATATTTTGAATGTTGGATGTACGTTATCTTTGGATGTTGTTATAAAATCTGCAAATAAGGTTAGCAAAGTCTAAACAAAACATTTTAAATGAGTTAATCAAATCCACTGGGGGAAAAAACAACAAAAACAAATGAATAAGACAAATACAAGCCATATATTTCAACCTCTTTTCACGGATTACAGTAAAACTATTCATAAAAAAATATATATATAGGCTATGAAGTATTACATCCCTCTTCAAAGAAATGCTTGTCATTTTTAACCATGCAAATTAAAATTCAGCTTTTTCCAAATTGTAGCGATATCAGCTTGAGTTGAAAGTGTCACAGTAGGCAGCAAACACTATACTGTAGCTTCCAATAGTCAGTGCAAGTTTTTACAAAAAAAAAAACACTGCAGTGAAAAAAAAAGGTTCAGTGCACTGAAAATAAGGGATCTTCTTTATTTTTGCGAAATGTTTTTAATTAGGAAGAATATAGATAACTTTGGTCTTCTTCTGTTCTAAACCAACATTTCAGACAGGATAATATAGATTGAATTGAAATTGTGTCCTGCATATGCAGCTAAATGCTTCATGATTCACGGCATTAAAATGGAATAAAAGTTAAAACATAATCAACATGTAAATTTAGAACCTAATAAGGGGGGGAAAGATGGGAATCTCTTGCGTCCCACAGTCTTATCCATTATCTGCAATATTTTCCAGCTCTCTGTCTTCATTGATGTCGCCAGCAGTGACTTTCTATAAATGAACTGGGCTCCAACTGAGAAGATTCCCTCTGTGCTTTTAATTTTCCCTCTGTGGTTGCAGCTTTTTTATCATGTCTTTATCAGTTTATATAGAAGTTTTTATATAGAAGTCAGAACATATACATATACATATATATACATATATATATATATATATATATATATATATATATATATATATATATATAGATATATAGATATATAGATATATAGATAGATATCTATATATATATATATAATATATGTATATAGATATAGATATATATATATATAGATATAGATATATAGATATCTATATATATATATAATATATATATATAGATATAGATATATAGATACAGATATATATCTATATCTATATATATAAAGGTTTTAGAAAAGGTCAAGCATGAAGAAACGTTTTTTAGATATAATTTAAACCCGATAATTAACTTTTAAATCTTAAACACGGAGTGTTTCAAAACCGCACACGCCTGTTACCTTCAATTCCACACGGTGGCGGTAGCGAGTCTCGAGGCTGTTTGCTAAACCGTTTCGATAAATCCAAATCAGGAAGAAAAAATGAGCGGCTAATGCTAACTGGTTAGACGTTAAACGTATCATAGCAGTTGGAAGCATACATTTTGTTTGGAGTTATTTTAAAATTCGGAGTTTATAAAATTCTCACACCGAGACACAGGTAAGACACGAGTCTCGTCGCAGCAACTATATCCCACCTAGCTCGGAACTAAGAGCTAGTTGCTACAAGCTAACTAGCTAACATTATCCATTAAACAGAACCTCGCTGCTGTTTATGATACATAGCTAAACAAATTGTTACAAATATTCCTCCGCAGTTGCTGCTACGTATATTAACTGTTATATCCATTTTTAATTTACTTTTTGAAAAATTGGGAATGCAGGCCTTTTGCTAACATCACATGTAAACAAAGGGGAGAAAAGCTACAAAGATCATTTGATTATACAATTATAGAGTTACTATCTGGCGTTGTGTATATTGCTTTATGACTTGAGACACATTTGTCTTTAATAATCCTTTCGATATTTTTTTTAATTTATTTTAAATTTTTTATTTTACTTCTTACTGCTTAAAACTGTATCTGTTTTATCTGCTTTAAATGTAATTTAAGGTTCCTACAATAATAAGCATTTTCTACCAAGCAGTATCCAGTACTAAAATGTGTACTGGGTGGTAATTGCAGAAGTTGTTGAATCTAGTGGCTTCTATATTTTCTTAGCCTATTGTAGTTTTAAATATTAGTCCTATATCAACATAAACTTTCAATTTCAAGTCACGGGTCTATGTCCTGCAGAGTAACCCTTTCTTCTTTAGTGGTAATCACTTTAATTAAAAATTAATATCTTCAAAGAAAAGAGACAGGAATTCAACTTATACATTTCCAAAATAAAATGACACCACTGAGTGTAAGTTTCTGTCATTAGGCTGAAAATAATAGGCTCCTTGTTTGTTAAACGGGGCCAAATTTCCTTTAAATGTGGAAATTACTCATATGTAGCCTAAAGTAGTTTTATTTTTTGTTTCTACCATTGATGTAGATTTCCAAAGTTTTCTGATTCGATATTTAATTTTACAAGGTAAAAATACCAGTAAATATTAGTATCAATAAAACAATTTAATAGAAATCACTGTAAAAGAACAACATTTTGCAGCTGTTTACAAATTTTATTTGTTAGGAGGTGGACAAAAGTGTCTCTCTAAATTGCAAAGGCTGCTCACCCTTATTCTGGACACATCAGCCCATATAATAAATCTACATCTGCTTTATTTCAGATTATAATGTAAAATAAAAACTGACTTTTTTCATATATATCTTTAGAACATTATGGAAAGTGTAAGTAAAACAATACCCTGATATTCAAATGCTTTAGAGGAGCAATAAGCAAAAAAATCACTACAATTATCTCAAATCATTGTCATTTGGAAGTAACATTACCTATAAATAATCGATTATCCTCATCAACAATATATTAGTCAAGTTTTTCTCTTTTTAAACCGGAGCTGCTTGGTGCAGTGTGTAGCTTGTGTTTACGTCTAGGATCTTGAACCAATCAAATGAGGAGTTCCCAGCATTGCCAACAAAGAGCACAGCATCTTATCATTCATGATAAAAATACTAAACCAAAATACTTATGTTGTTAATTGTATGTTTCAAATACACCTCACAGTACAAATTTAATACACTTTTCCATTAATGATGCTTCCCTCAGTAAATGAGGAGATGCAGGCCAGCGAACCAGTGGTTGGTGCATCAGTGGGGGTGTCTGGTGTTCAGAGTCGGTCGGAGGATGAAGAGTCACTGAGCATGAAAGACGTGAAAAGGACGGCAGCACAAGCGTTTGGAGGCGGTGTTCCCAAGAGGAGAAGTTCATCCAGGTATTGTTCCACTTTAGACAAAACAATACTTTATAAAAAAAAAAAAAAGGATATTAAAGAGTGTTTCTAATTATGATTTTTCTGAAATGAAAGATCAATAAAAAGAAAGAAGTTTGATGACGAGCTGGTGGAGAGCAGTCTGGTCAAGTCGTCCAGCAGAGTCAAAGGGCCTCCTGTCATTGAACCTATACGCTGTTTGGGCAGTGAACCTTCATCCATTGAAAAGAAAAAGGTACAAACCATTTTAAAGTATTTTAGATGGTCAGGAGTGAGATATTAAATAGGTTTATATGCTGATGGATTTTTTCCTTATTATTCTTATGTGAGGTGCCCAAGTCAGGAACTGCCCTCACACCACCTCTCACTATGGTATTAAACCCTTCACCTCTGCCCAAAAGAGTAAAGAAAAGCAAGCAGCCTTTACACATGACTAAAGACTTGGGACGCTGGAAACCCACAGATGACCTTCTGCTAATTAATGCTGTGCTACAGGTGAGCACCAAAAACACTAGTCAGTGCTCATTTGCTCACTTGTTTATTGCTTTTGTAGTGGTTTTATATTATGTGACACCAGAGTGAAATGTGGAGTTAATTCATCTGTGTCTTTATCTCACGCTTCCAGACTAGTGATCTAACTTCTGTTCATCTGGGGGTCAAGTTCAGCTGTCGCTTTACTTTGCGGGAAATTAAAGAGAGGTGGTACGCATTGCTGTATGACCCTGTCATCTCAAAGTAAGAACTTGGTTTGGTTCTGATTAGTTTTTTTTAAATCATGTTTTCCACTTTGGTGCTCTAAGCATATTGCTGGTTTTGTGTCATTCCGGCAGGCTCGCATGGCAGGCAATGCGGCAGCTTCACCCAGAGGCAATAGCAGCAATTCAAAGCAAAGCTCTCTTCAGTCAGAGTGAACAGGCGCTGCTGGCCAAGATCGGTTCAGTAAGTGACTCACTGCATTTTTTTTAATTTATTTTTTTATGAAGGTTAAGTTGAAATTTGATCAAGTAAATTTTAAGGAACATTAAATATATTAGAAAACTCCAGTTAGAGATTCTCTAGTAGATTTCTAATCACTGATTTTTCAAAGCTTTGTCCTGCCATTTACAGTGCATTTAAAATGTGCTGAAAATGTTTGTTTCTAAGTTCCAAAACTTGTGTGCTGATTTATAATTTTGTAGCATTTATTTTTAGATTATTGAGTATTCATCAGACAGTGGATCCTGAAGACCAGGGGCTCCTAAACTGTTGATTGGTTATACAGATATTATACAAAATCAATTAACCATGATTATGATCATTATAATACATAAGCATCAACAACCACTTTGTTTTCTTTTGCCTATTTCTGAGACATTTTTCTATATCTGTTAGTAAAAAAAATATAAATATTCTCCAAGTTTCTGTGGCGGATACCAAGTTTCAATACTTGCATATCTATGACTCCAACTTTGGGAAGCAGTGTTATGGACCAGGAGTTCCCAGTCATTTCAGCCTGAGACTGATAAAGTAAATTTATCAGAGGCTGATTACTCTCTGTTGGCGACCCCCTACATTGCCAGTGATTGGACTAATATGTGATTGGACTAATATTATGCATTTTACAATAATGCGTATTGGAAAATGGAAAAGGTTTTTATGAAAAATGAAATAAAATTTATATTCATATCAATTGTAAGTTTAATTAATTCAGTATGTAAAAATACATGTCATACTTTAATGGGGTATTTATTTAGTTCTTGAAACTAAATAAATACACCATTAAAATACACCATTTATTTCATTATATGTTTATTGACTTTTGACCCTTTTTTCCTCCATACATCTTGTGGATTATTTTAGAGGGGCCCAGAACCCCACTTGGGGAACCCCTGTTGTAGATACCGTATTTTCACAACCATAAGGCGCACCGTACTAAAAGGCGCAGTCCCAGTTATGTGTGCCATTTCTGTATTTAACACACACATAAGGCGCACCGGACTATAGGGCGCGTTTTTTATATACAGGTACATGTTCTATACTACCTTTAAATACCTCTACTGTGTATTTAAAAATAGAGTTGGAGCAAAACTGAGTAGAGATGTCCCGATCCAGGTTTTTGCACTTCCGATCCGATACCGATATTGTTTTTGGACTTCCGATCCGATACCGATACTGGCCGATACCAGCCTATCCGAGCATGTATTTAAGTTTAAGTTAAAGTATTTAGCCTTAGTTGTAAGACTCATGTTGAAAAGGGTTTTAGTACTCTTGATAACATCTAGCCAGCTAAATTAGGTGAGATTGAATAAAACACAATGCTTGGTAACAACAAACTTATCTGTTTATTAAGAGATAAACACAAACTGGACAAAATTATGAATAGCAATCTGAAATTGCACAGTGAACAGTAAAACCGTAAACAGTTAAAGGTGCAAGTATTACTGTAAGTTTTAATAAAAATGCAAAACAGGGGAACACTGGCGCAAAATAGATGAATGGATCGTTTCAATCGGCGAAACTGGAAAATACGGCCCGGTTTTTTTTTTAAAAACTGGATCGGCAGTCTGGATCGGCATTTTACATGCTTTGCCGATACGCATTTTTTTGCCAATATCGGCGTCCCGATCCGATACGTGGATCGGATCGGGACAAGCCTAAAACTGAGTATGATTGTGCTTTATTCATGTATTTATTACAAAGTATTAATCAAACCTGGGAGCTGGCTGTGAGACAGACACATCGCAGATGACAGAGCTGTGATCACTCCTAAATTAACTTAAAATCCTGAAACCTGCCGACAGAATATGTTCGCTTTTATTGCCGGTATCCTGGTACCTGCAGTTTAAATTATTTAGATGAAAAACACCTGCCAGCCGCCGCGGTGAACCCGGAGGCTGCCCAGCCTAGAGGCTGCTGTTGAAAGGATTTCTCCTGTCGGTGCACCGCTGGTATGTCGGAGTCTGAGCGCCTCCGACAGAAATAGTATAGGCAGGATGATAATCTGGATGAACTGACTGCAATTATTAAGTTTTCAGGTGGACTTTCTCACTTAAAAACATATTAAAACTACTTTATTCCCACTGATCACAGCAAATATAGCTGCAAGATTTGGATTATTTAGATGAAAAAACACCTGCCAGTCGCCGCGGTGAAGAGAGACCCGGCCTAGAGGCTGCTGTTGAATTAAGTTTTCAGGTAGAAAAATAGAGCGGGAGCAAAATTGAGTATGATTGTGCTTTATTCATGTATTTATTACAAAGTATTAATCAAACCCATCAAAGTCATCATCCTCTGTTTCTGAATTAAACAGCTGCGCTAAATCAGACATGCCAGTTTCCCCTTCTTTGCTGTCAGAGTCACTTTCCGTGCAGCGCGGCTCCTCAGAAATAATGCCTGCTTTTGCGAAAGCTCGAACAACAGAGCCAGCAGACATGTTAGTCCAAGCATCTACAATCCATCCGCAAATGGTGGCGTAACTTGCCCGGCGCTGCCTTCCACTTATCCTGAAACTGGGGTCTCCGTCTGTCATGCATTGCTCCCACGCCGCTCGCAGCCTTACTTTGAACGGCCGGTTCACACCGATGTCGAGCGGTTGAAGTTCCTTTGTCAGACCCCCCCGGGATAACGGCGAGCACAGCGTTCATTCGATTCACGTTTTTTTTTTCACATCGGCTGTGAGATGGGCACGCATGGAGTCACAGATTAACAGCAATGGTGATGCGTGGAAAAAACCACCTGTTCTCCTCACATACACCTGCCTCAGCCACGCTTTCATCATCTCCTCATCCATCCAGCCCTTTTCATTGGCGTTAATATCATATGTCATCAGAGCGCTGTGTCTGTCTCGCTGTCAGCTCCCAGATCAGCTTCTCTGATTGGTTGATGCGGCGCTTCCAGCAGCAAAACTTAAATTTTTTCATCTCGAGCAGCAGCAGCGCGTTGGCGGCGCGTCAGAGGCTTAAACGCTCCCGACGCGCTGCGCCTGCTGCTCAAAACGCGCTGCGGTACCTTTTGCTGCATCTATACGCGCGTCAACCATTGACTTTGCATGTAAACTCTCTGCTTCTGCTGTGTCCGGTTCACACCGATGTCAAGCGGTTGAATAACAGCGAGCACAGCATTAATTTGTTTCACCATGTTTTTCTCATCAGCTGTGAGATGGGCACGCATGGAGTCACAGATTAACAGCGATGGTGATGAGTGGAATAAAACCACCTGATCTCCTTACATTCACCTCCCTCAGCCACTCTTTCATCATCTCCTCAATGAGGTGGTCTCAAAAGTAGCAGTTACAACACACATAGGGCGCACCGCACCAAAGGGCGCACCGCACATTTTGAGGGAAAAAAAAGACGTTTATGTGCGCCTTATAGTCGTGAAAATACGGTAATAGCTTGTAGATGAACCGATGAACCCTCCAGAGATCTAAAAACGGCAGATCAAATACAGAAAAATCAGTTTTCTTTCTTCCATTTTCTAAAACTGGTTTAAATTAAGAACTTCAAATGTAATGGTGTATGAATGCATCAACCCACATCATGATGGTTCATACACTTTTGTGAGTTTAATATAAATCTGATAAAGATTAGGGTCCTACTGATGTGAACAAGCAAGGATTATCCTGTAATTTCTCCAATGTTCTGATGGATTTATCTGCGGTAGATTTTCTATATTTAAAAACCGACTTTCAGCCTGATCATGCATCGTGTAGTCTAGAGGGGGTAATGAGGGGTGATCAGCCACTCACGACCACCTCCCGATCAGGAATCGTGAGGGCGGGAGAAAAAATCAAACATGTTTGATTTTCAGTCGACCGTCGTGGGCAAATCACTGAGTGGGCATGCTTGAACAAGGATTCTTCTTCTTCCTCTGAGATGAAAACACAAAAGCATGTTGGATGTGCGAGTTAAATGGAGTTCTTTCTGTAAAATTGACAGACCGTAGTAGCCATGTTTGCTCAGCCATGTCTTTGTCCAAATACGTTGTCGCCTTTTCTTTTTAGGGATTTCATAACACAAAAATGCACAAATTGCTAAGGCTTCACTCTAGTGAGCTTCATATTCCTCTTCTACTCATTGGCTTCCGGATAGAGATCTCGCTGCGGGGCCGAGTCCACCGTAGTTTTTAGATGCACAGTTTGAGCACAGTGTGAGAAGATACACTGTGAGCTGTGAACTTTTATCCCTGCAGTTTCATCGACAGTGTGAGCTATGGCTGTGTGCGACGATTGAAAATATCTCACAGTGTATGCCCGGCTTTAAAATAAAATTCTCCCTAAACAGACCAGTCAGCCCAAAATGGAAGTTTTCCTGGAGCTTCTGAGCAAACACCCCGGCATCTTTCACCCATCTCGCACCCCGAAGAGCCTGATGGTTCACTGGCAGCTGCTGAAGCAGTATTACCTGCTAGATGACCAGAGTGGTGAGTTTTGTTACTCAATTGTTTCACAATACGTGATGCACCACCAAGTAATAAACGATATTGCTAAAGGTTATCTTGGCTGATATCTTTATTTTTTTCAGGGAGTTGTGTACCAGAACCACTAATAGTTTATTCGCCTCATTTTTGTCTTGCAGTTCAGCCGCTTCCTAAAGGGGATCAGGTGCTGAACTTTTCTGATGCTGAGCAGATAGTAGATGACATAAAATTAAAGTGAGTCTGTTTTAACTGTGTATTCACAGTCTCATTTTTTAAGGTGTTTGATCTGCTTTGCTAAAAGCTGTTGTTTTTCATGCAGGGATAGTAGAGACGAAGCACTGGAACACGGTAAGAAACCTGGTTGTACATTTCAGCTGTAGGGGTTTGACTGGAGGGGTCAAATATCCTTCTCGGTCAAATGTCTTCATTTCAAGCGTTACATCAGTCCAAGCTTTAGTTACTCATTTCTTCAGCTTCTTGATAAGGAAGTGAATATTTGGTTCTTTGCTGACAGCAGCTATTGACAAACACTTTGTGTCTTTCTTAAGTTCAATATTATATATCTCCTGTTCTCACGAACACATTTTTGGAAACCCTTTGAGAAAACATTGTTTTGGTGCTTTTCTTTTTTTAACTTATGCTTTGATAATGAATCACATTTTCTGAGCTGGATAAATGTAGAAAATTACAAGAGTATAACTTTTTTTTTTTCAAAAATTATCTCCTTTATCAGTGTCTCAGCTGTTTTCCTTCCTTCCTTCCTTCCTTCCTTCCTTCCTTCCTTCCTTCCTTCCTTCCTTCCTTCCTTCCTTCCTTCCTTCCTTCCTTCCTTCCTTCCTTCCTTCCTTCCTTCCTTCCTTCCTTCCTTCCTTCCTTCCTTCCTTCCTTCCTTCCATTCATCCAGGATGTCTCTCCTTGGTGAAACGTGTCATTGTTTACCTTGTTGTCTCCTCCCAGAGCTGATGATATCAGATCGTCACCAGAAGAGGGAGATCAGACAGCTGGAGCAGGAGTTACCTCGGTGGCAAGTTCTTGTAGACAGCATCACAGGTATGTACAGTGCCAAGCAAAGGTTTTAAGATACCCGGTTCACATTTTGTCATATCAGAACCACAAACTCCAGAGCTTTTTGTTGGTGATTTATAGGGGTGTCCCAATACAATTTTTTATTTTCTAATACCGTGCTGATATTTCAGCTTTGATAATTGGCGGATACTGATATTGACTTGATATCATATTTGTATGAATCATACATGCTTCTATTACATATTTCATACTGTATAATGTTAGAAAAGGCTTCATCAAGTAATATTACTAAAAGAGGGAACAAAAGTCAACTGCTGACCCATGTAAAATTAACCAATGAGTTAGAGAAACTTTTAACAGAAGCGTTAGAAGAGTGTTTTAATCGGCATGAAAATATTGGAGATTTTAAATGCCAGCCGATAAAATCAGATATTCATTTTTGGCTAATATTGGACAGATATCCGAAATTAATATCAAATTGGGACATCCTTTGTGATTTTTACATTAGACCAGCATCAAGTAGGAGTTTCTGATACTATGATAAACCTGTGTTTGTGTGTGTGTGTGTATGTGTGTGTGTGTGTGTATATATATATATATATATATATATATATATATATATATATATATATATATATATATATATATATATATATATATAAATGACGGTGTTTTTTCCTGAATTTGAACTAGATAAAGCTAAGACTATTCCACCGGAAAAGTTTTGTATACAACAGATTTACTAACAAGAAGCCATTCTTTCTGCAAACAACAAATTTTATTCAGTTAATGATTTGATAATCCGATTAGCTCACTGCTGTTTCAATAAACGATTTTTCTGATCGTGTACAGCCCTACTTTACTTGTTTGTAATAATAATAATTGAACTTTATTGATCACACATTGGACAAATTTAACTCTGCTTTTAACCCATGCCCTTGGGGAGCAGTGGGGAGCCATTGTGCGGCGCCCGGGAAGCAATTTGGCTTTAAGGGTCTTGCTCAGATACCCAGAGTGGCAGTCTGTAGGAGTGGGGCTTGAACTCAGAACCTAAAGTTTCCAAGCTCTATGCCTTAACCACAAGGCCGTCACTCCCAAGTAAACACCTGCCACTTTGGGAGAACCCTGTATATCAGCTTGTTTCATTAAAACCCTTTAGTTAAAATACCAAGTGATGTAGTCCCAAGTTAGGATCAGCTGCCCTCTACTGGCTCTAGCGAAGTGATGTAGTGAGGATATATGGTCACAGCAACCAGAACTCAGAGCTAATTTTTGATAGAGTTGGTGAAATCTATTTGAAGCATTTAATCCACAAACAGCAGGTTTTTCTTCAGACAGTTTTTTCACCAATATTGTTTTGGAAATCATGCCATAGAGAGACAGATTTTATATAAACTACCTCTATCGATGGCACATAGCACCTGTCATCCTACACTGCTGGCTTTTGAACAGGTACGGCTAAATTAGAAATGCTCAACACACCTTTTATATTTTGAATTTCAATTTCTGAAAGTGTTTCACTACATTACACTAATGTTCTATTTTTATGTTGGTCTATTACATAAAACCCTGTACAAATGCAGCAACCTTTGCCCTTGTAGTGTAACAGGGTGTAGAAGTAGTTCAGGGAGCATGATTATCTTCTCAGGCTTATGTAAACCGTGTCAATTGTGAATGGAAAAAAAAACATAAATGCTTACTTGTTCAATCATTCCACCGGCAGGGATGAGCATGCCTGACTTCGACAATCAGACGTTGGCAGCGCTGCGGGGAAGAATGGTGCGGTACCTCATGAGATCAAGAGAGGTGAGAAGAATCTCCTGAAAGCACTTGTTGACATGTGCTTCTATACTGGGAGCCTGATTAAGTGTGTTCACACAGATCACGCTGGGGAGAGCAACAAAGGACAAACAGATAGATGTAGATCTGTCACTAGAGGGACCCGCTTGGAAAATATCCAGAAAGCAAGGTAATTCAAATCTAGTTTCTTTTACTGTACCAGGATCAATTAACATTTCAGAGAAAAGAGAAACAAACACCAAAATTGCAGCAGTATTTAACCTTATTTAAACATTAAGGACACAGACTTTCACACTAAATGCTGTTTGCCTTCACAGGAATAATTAAACTGAAGAATAACGGAGATTTCTTCATTGCTAATGAGGGACGGAGACCCATCTACATCGACGGCAGACCGGTCCTGTCAGGAAACAAGTGGAAGCTGAACAACAACTCAGTGGTGGAGGTGTGTAGAGACATTTAGCTACCACTGGTAAAGATGGGTGAAAAATCTTACAACTCTTCTATAGATGTTTCTCAAACTGAGACATAACTCAAAAAATTCTTCCTAATTTTACACATTTTTATTTTAAGCAACTCTAAGAAATGGGAAGATAAAAGAACACGCCAGTCAAGTAATGCAGATATCTGTTAACATTCTTAAAGCAATGTTGCAATTAGCTCAATTTGAGATATATAAAATAATTTCTGGCACTTAGAGCATATCGATGGTCCCAGCAGGCTGCTCTTCTCTGTAACTTAAGAGAATAGGATCCACCACCGAATGAGTCATGTGACCCAGAACACTGCTTTACAGCGATATAACGTATGTATTATCGGTGTAGGGATGAATGTGGTCTTGGCTTTAGTATTCATCCTTATCACTTGCCGCTTTCACTCCCTTCCCTGCGTGGGTTACATAGGGATACTATGTATCCACCTCCCTCGCCGTGGAAACCGCGTTTGGTCTGAATGCACCTTGAGATTTCATCATTAAAAGATGAACTGAAAGAGTTTGATATTGTAAGTTGCGGTTTCTCATGTTTTCTGCTGCCATTTCATTTGTTACTGTGATTGGCCAAACCGAACTTTGGTAGGCGGGCTCTAGGTGTCGGTTTACCCAATCATTTCTGAAGGTTCTGCTAAATGTCTTTTCTTTTCTGGATTCATCAGAGGAGACCCATATTGATAACGTGTAGAGCTAAACCTGAATTCTGCACATTATCAACATGACTTGTCAGGTTGGCTAAACCTGGAAGTCTATGCCCCTAGTGGCTTCAAGACAGAATGCACTACACTTAAGTTTCTACTTGCTTAAACTCTACATATTGGTAGAATGATAATTGAACCCTTTAAAACATTTGATTGTGAGAAACGAGGCTGAGTCATTGCTTCAGTTTATCCTACCAACACAGGCAGCCCAGAGGTTCAACTTAATAGTTTATCATTGTGATATGCTGCAGCAGCTGAAGGTGTTTTTCTCACATCTTATCAGAGAAGTAATAAACATGAAGGAGCTGCTTTATCAAAGCTGAATGACAAAAAACTGTTTTCTTCTGTTTAGATCGCAGGTCTTCGTTTTGTTTTCCTAATAAACTTGGAGCTCATCTCACTGATAAAAGCTGAAGCGGCTAAGATGTCACAGCAGTGAAAGGTCGGGTTCTGTCAGCTGACAGACAGTAGCGTCCGCCAGAGCATCGCCATGGAGACGAGGACTCCATATAACCTTATTGTGACTCTTGATGATTTACATCCTGGAGCAACATGTTTAATGTGGTGTATGGACATTTTATTCTGTTATGCCGACACTCGTGGTTGAGTCCTGTTGTGTGCAGTTTTGCAGAACATTGTATTTAAATTCTCACACCAAGCTTTTGTTGTTTTTTTAATAATAAACTTGTTTACTCTGTCTTCTTTTGCGTCTTAGGTGTTTTTTTGTTTGTTTTTTTAGTCAGATAATGTCTGTCATACTGATTTATGGGAAGATGCCAAGATTAAATACATTACATCAATTAATAGTATGATAAAAATGTATTCCCTTTTTTTTCCCCTGTGTGTCTTGCTCTCTTTGTACTCACCCCTCCCTGACAGAGGAGTAACAAGCAAGAGAAATACAGGTTGAGGTTTGGAGAAACTCAAAATTTGTTTTTCAAAGCAGAACAGGACAGTTGCAGCATGCGAGCACTCTAGATTAAAACAGTGCTATAATTTATCTAAATAATTTCTGGGAAAATTGACCATCTGGGAGACCTTTGTTGTTACAGTATTGTTTGGACTGGTGGGAAGATTTTCTTGTATAAATTGATATTTTTATCCAGAAATTATTGCCAATCCTTTTTGCTGTGAATCAAGCCCCTACATATGCTCATTTCTCTTTTTTTATGTATAGCTATACAGTATTATTGACTAAACTAAAGTGTAATTTTGCTTATTAGAAAAAAATGTAGGAATTGATTTATACAAGTTTTAGCAAAGCTCAAATACAGGTTGTTTGTTTTATATCGTTAATAATATATTTTATTCATTTTTTATGCACACATTCATCAATTGTCCTGAGAAAGCATGCTAATTTTGTTTCAGTTAGGTAATTGGTTTTTCCCTTAGACCCCATTTCCAATAGATGCTTTGCCAACGGCCGCTAGATGGCGCCAAAGAAGAAATTGGTTATAAATCCAGTTTTAAGCCACTACTGGGAACATTTCTCTTGAGAAGCTAGGGCAACAATAAACAAGATATTTTCACAAAAAAGGTAAATTAAATTCATACACACATCTTAGAGTAAAATGTATTAAAATGTATAAATCAGCACCATTACACTATCTGATTGAAGGTTTAGGCAATTTAAAAGTTAGCTTTGTTTATCCTGTATTTACAGCTGCATTAAAAAAAATTGAATACAATTACAAAGAAAAACAATCTAACCTTACACCGAATTTAAAAAAAATTCAAACATAATGAAGGCTCACAGCTAAATATGGGGTGGGGGGGTTATACTTTGACAGATTCTATTTTGTATACACAAGTGTAAGCTAAAAGCAATTTTGTTAAGAACAGCTCTCTAGACTATTTCATTTTTTTTAAAGCGCAGCCTTTATAAGGCAAGCAGCAGTGATTAATAAAACAACAAATGTGATGAAAGACAGTAATGTAAACATATGTATGACTATATAGTTACAGTTCTAACATTCAATTAACATTTTTTTTCTTTTTTTTAGTTACAGTTCTAACATTCAATTAACATTTTTTTTTTTTTTACCCATTTTACATAACGTTCAGCAGTCAAATGGCAGTGGGATGCTTTGAAGCCTCTTTCCAGAGGGCTACAGGGAGAACAGTCCATGGTGGGGCTGTGAGGGGTCATTGAGGATGTTTCGGGTTCGGGACACGCAACGCTGGGATGAAATGTCTTTAATGGAGAGAAGAGGAGCCCTGATGACCTTCTCACCTTCCAGTCTGAGGCACTGCAGCCTCCACACCACACAGCGAGACAGCTGCTCAGAATGAATCCCAGCTGTTCCATTTTGCCCATCAGATGCTGTGGGATGATGGTTTTGAAAACTGAACTGAAGTCCAGGAACAGCAACTTTCTTTGTTCAATATTTTAATTTCTCCAAGTATTTTAACTGTTTATTCATGAACAGTTTAAGGTCAGTATTTCCTTTATGAAATAGACCAAAAATTACTTTTTTCTACTTTCAAAAAAGTAACTAAATAACTTTTATTTAAAGTTACTTTTTGCTTGGGTAATTTTCACTGTAACTTAAGTAACATTTTGAACTGGTAACTACTTGTATTTTAGTCACATTTTTATCTGAGTTACTGAAATGTTTTTTGTTTTAGTCTGTTTTTTGCACTCTTTCCACCTCTGCATAGCATCAACAACCATACAGAATTACTGCTATGGTGTGTCATGTCAATCATCTGAGGGCGGTGATCAGACTTAAGGGGATCCAGTGCTTCCCCTGCAAATATGAAAAAGAATATGTTATAGGTAGCGACTGCTAAAATATGTATACTTCTTCCCACTCCTCTCTTCGAACTTGTTAATACTACGATTTCACTTTGAAACAGTATTAATATTTTTTTAATTGTTTTCTTTTATATGTATTTTTTCCCGTTTTTGTTTTCTGTTTGCTTTATTTGTTTTCACACACAAAAATAGATACACATTGAAGTACAGTGGCCGAGTCAAATGACAGACCTAATTCAAGTGGGAATCTATGGCAAGACTTGAAATGTGCAGGTCACAGAGGATTTCTGTTTTAATTATTTATTTTTATGGCTCATTTTCTTCAAAAGGCGGTCATACTTCTCACTTTTTTCTTCTCAGATGTGTGTCATTCCAAGTCACTGAACTTTTAGAAATAAGCAGTATGAAGTTGCTTTTGCAGCGGGTTAATATAACAGATTTATGTTCTCTTATACTAGTAAGAATATATTGTTTTTTTTAGCTTTAGAAATGAACTAATGTACTATAAAACTAACTTTTTGTGTAAAGAAGCTCCTTTGAAATTCAGCTGCATGCCTTAAAATAGCTTTTGACTGCTGCTCTTTTCTGTCCCTTTTATTATCCCAAGGGTATTGTGCTTGGAGGATTATGTAATAACTCAAACTCCTGTAGAAAGTAAGTAATTGTAATAGATCTGCTGGGGCAGCTCCATGTGATTTTGCCAAAGTTTAAATTTTTTCTAAAACATTATAAATGCTTCTCCACATTTTGCCTCAGGAGTCTACAGCTCTAAGCATTGACATATTTTACTGAGATTTTAGTTGGATGAAAGAAAACATAACAAGCAACAAATAACATATAAAAACATATCTTTAAAAGATCTAAAAAATCCATTATTGTAATCATGTATATCATAGCTGTATGCATACTTGTTTTCATGACAGCTGTTTACTCCCTTTTGTTTGTGCATTCTATCTGTCTCTATTAAGTAAACATCAGTGTAAGCATGTTTTATATATTCCAAAAAATTACATACCACGCTCCTCAGTTTTTTATATTTTGCTCTCACATCTAAAGGTGTTTTTTTAAATGTGCAGTTAATGATTCATTTGAGCCTTTGGTCCCTAAATGCAGTTAGCCAACCCTTCTTGCTAAACCAGGTCCTGGCGACGCTAGATACGGGGCCAGGGCTGGTCATGGTCACCCTTATCCAATCATTGGCCACCACATGTGGACATATTTCACAAGCATTTTCCCTTTCAAAGAAATGGTGGTAGCAATAATACTGTTGAGTGGAATGTGCTTACTAACTTTAAATTTTAATATTTCATATATTAACTGATAAAAAAAATACAGTGGTTAACTACAGTACTTATATCAATATACTAACATTAAAGATGGTAAATACAGAATTAATGCTCTTTTCAAAAGTTTGTGTTTTATAGGTTAAAGAGAAAATTATGTCTCTACAAATTATCTAGGAGTCTTCAGTGTAATCAGAGATAAATAACAGCTAAATATATTTGCAGTAGTTATTAGTATATTAAAATATTGAGATAATAGAAAAATTATTAACAAGTATTATTAATCTGGACATTTTCTTTCCAGAAATGTAGGTAAGAAAAGACACTGGATAAGATGTTCCCCACAGAGGTGAAAGCTAAAAGAAGATTATCCTGTGTAGCTTTAATTTAGAGAGCAAATGTGCAAATATATGTCCATATATCAGTCAAATATTTGTCTGTTTGTTAGCTAGGTCTTTAGGAAAATATAGCTTGTGTTTATTTAGAAAATATAGATTTTTTTTTCATTTTCCTGTTTGAACAGTATAGACTGACTAAGGTGTTGCGCTTTCACTAACATTGGTTAGTGCCTGGTCACCCCTGTTAAAATTTTCCTACAGTTCCTCAAAGGCGTAATGACACAACAACAGGCCTGTAAGCAACATTATCTGCAGTTGCTTAGTTGCCCCTAAGCAACTGCAGTCTCTGCTTACCAGTATTTACGCCATTGCTTTGGCTTACCCTGAGGTTCTGGCACCTATCCACTTTCGGCCACCCCTCAGAGTACATTGGTTATTAAGGAAGAGTATTAGGGCCACTGAAAAAAATAAAAAAAGTTAATTGATTTTTTAAATTTTATTTCTGTATAATATGAGAAAAAGACAAATTTCTGACTTTAATCTCAGAATTCGGACTTTAATGTGGGACGGAACAGTCATCACATTTGGGATGGGATGGCTAACTTTATGTTAGCTTAGTTAGCTATGTTAGTGAATATATACATCTGACCAGAGACGTTAGCCACGTCAAGCTTCCTCTGCAATCATCAACGAAACCGCAGCTTTGTAGTTCAGATTAATATTAATAATGTCAGTGCAGCTAGTATATATTCAGACTGATATTTATTTGGATTTATAGTGAAGCAAATGCTGTAAATACACCAAAGGCTTTGCAGCAAATGCTCTAATCCACACTGATCAGTTTTCACAGCTGAAGCTTGTTGGTTTGATTTAAAAACCTCAGGAAAATTTAGAGTATCAATGTAAGATGTTGACTGTCTGGAAAGTGCAAGCTTTCAGCTCATGAAATGGAAATTAACAAAATAATTAATTGTATAAATCATATATATTCAAGAACAACAAGTAATTTTAGTTGTTTCTGATTTTTTATTTTTTTTAATGTTGTATGGATATTTATGTGCAGTGAAACCTTATATCAGTAGAAAAGCAAAATTCTAATGAAAATACATTGAAACAGATTTTGGTGGAGGAGGTGTGGTGCTGTGGGCTGTCAAGGCTTGCTTCTGATAAAAGCAAAGCTTTGGCGATATTGTTCAATTTGGATGTCCAGTGGTGCACAATATGAATGTAGACCATCTTAATGGTTTCAGCCACTTCAACCTTGTTTTTAAGATTTGAGTTTAAATGTTTAAAGATTGAGCTCCTGTTTTTGTTTATCGGAGCTCTTGCATGTTTCCAGTAGAACCCTGAGGTCAAGCAAGCTGCCTCTCTTTAATGGAGTGGTCTTGTGAGGCGAGGAGACAGAGCTTTCTCTGTGGCCGCACTTTGGAATGATCTTCACTCATAGACCATATTTTGCTTTTTTAAATCTCAGCTGTTAACTTTTTGTTTTTTATAGATGTATTAGGCTGTTTTTATCTAAACTTATTAAATTGTTATTCCAGATTTTCTGATTTCCTTCTACTCCATTTGTTAGTTTTTTATTGCTTATTTTATGTGTTTTATGATTTTATATAATTTATTATGACTTCAGTCGGATTGGGTGTGTAAAACTCCTCCTAGAAAAAGTTTAGATGAAATGATTGATTACCTGGCTCTTAGTAGGGTGTTTTAGACCTCAGCGTTTTTTTCTCCTGGAGGCCATTTTATTTCCAGATGAGGTCTCAAATGTATTAACGTTTTTTTTTTTTAACACAAGAATATCCAGTTATCCTTTAACTTTTTTAGTTGGTCTCTGTTGTACTTGATTGTTCCTGAGCATCCTTTTTATTTAATTTTTTTAGAGGACAGAGATATGGATTATCTTGCAAACAAAGAGGCAATTCCTCTGAACCACTAGTGTCCATCTCTTTAAACTGATGACTCCATTGTCTGCAGTGTATCAAAGGCTAAAGAGGATTTTTTCAACTTGATTAATTCAAATGTCTTTTGTCTTCTTTTATCTTCACTGATTTACATTTTTGATTTCCTACTGTTTAAGTAGGGGTAAATGCTGTCATACAAACCGTCACACTGATCAGGACATTCAACACATTCAGCACCACTTATTGAAACTCCCAGTCAGACAGATTTCACAGATCATCTGAGAGATTGCAAATCATTACAAAGAATCATAAAGAACTTCCCTGCCCACTTATTAACTATAATGGGAAAACGTTGTGGTGTTCTTGAGGATCTGTACATCAGCAGGTTCAGAGCGACTCTGCAGGACAAAGTGTCGATGAACCGGTGGAGTTAATATTCAATCCTTCCACTTGGAGCCGGTCTGCGGTTTTTATTTCTTATCAAATGTAATAACTGGTAGCTGCACATTTTCTCACTTGTTGTAAAACAGATTATGGTTTCCCTGCCGTAAAGTTGAAGGGAGATATGCTACCTCAGTGAAAACAGTTTGTAGATAACCTTGTCTAACCTTGTAGCCGACAGTGATAAGACTGGGTGATTAAGAAGAACTCATCTTCCTGTGGGTTTTATTAGAGAGGTGGCTTTAGGAAGCAATTGCTGTCAGTTTTATCAGTTTTTGTCAGAGAAAATAAGTCAAACATTGATATAAGTCTAGTGAACCTCAAATCTTTGATCATAAATAGGCCCAACCTAACTCATAGAGATTTCTGTACCGTCCTTTTGTTTACTGTAGACCATGATGTGTTTAAAGCTTGAATCCTCCTCCCTCCCTGCTGCTTCCTCCCCTTCAGCTGGTTGGCTCCACTGGCTGGTTAAAATAACAGCTGATTGGTTTGCTAAGTAGGAGGTAAAGGTTTAAAGGTTCACTTTGGTTAATAGGAACACGTTGTTCAGAATATGGAGGATTCATCCTGAGCAAAATAATACATGTAATATAAATGATACCAATATTTAACTGCAAAACAATTTGGACACAAGTGTAAAAAAAGTCACTTCTATCTTTTTCCATCTTTGTTAAGTGGATCCCCTTAAACCTCTCTGTTTTTTCTAAGAGTTCTTGTTCCCAGTAGATGTTTATTATTAGGTGCAAAGTAGAATCATTTAAGCTGGAGACCATGAGCCGTTCTTTAAAGCAAAGAGTGTTTGCATCTCTTCCCTGACCTTCATCGACTGAATGTTTCCCCAGGAAATTGATGCAATGCTGCTTCTCAGACGCTGTCACAGCCTGACCCGACTTGGCTCTTTAGGCCCTCAAAGGTATGGCACCTTGAACTAATAGTTAACTGTTCAAAGGCATTCATTCCAGGTTATTTTATCTAATTGTTGCTTTACAGTTATATTTTTTAACTAGTTAAAAGATTAAGATTTATTATTCAGTATCAGTAACATTCAGTTCTAGTTACAGTTCACTCTGTAGTGATTTATTTTTTCTTTTATTTTCAAGGTGTAAGGCAGCTTCTCCTCTTGCATCCCTTGCCGCTCGTCTGTGCAGCAGCAGGAGGGAAGACCAAAGATCCTCCCAGCATGTCAACAACAGTGCCAGCTGGAAAACTGTAGTTGCTGGTCTGCTGACTGGTACTGGTGCTGTGCTGGCTTATACTTTGCACCACCAAAAGGTGAGAGATGCATTGTAACCGGCAGTTAGCAATTTTGGCCAATACTGATGGTTGTGCACTATAGGTAATATTACGTACTTATTGACATGATAGGCCATTACTTATTTTAAGTAGTGATGCAGACAGAGGAGGCTTGCCTTCAAACGTGCTGTGCTGTGTCCTTAGATTTTCTTCCTTTCTCTTATCACTTTCCATCAAGCTTGACATTTAATACCCTGTGCAATAACCCTGTATAATAATCCTGTTAAATAAGAGAGTTCAGCTGTTTATACTGTAAATGTTCTCCATAGATTATAAAGTTTCACTTTTTTCTTTTTCTGGATTTCATTTTCAAGAAAAAAAATTTATTCAGCAAAAACTTCTACACTGAAGAGTGTTTCTTTTTTTTAAAGACTGACCTGTTAGCACCTAAGCGCGCTGCATTTAGAATGAAAAATGTGGAAAACATTTCTAGCTTTGTTCAGTATAAAAATTGTCCTATAAACATTTTCTTTTAAATGTAATATTTCATTTATTTTCTATATATTATTTATGCTTTAGATTTTCTTTTAGATTTTCATGTCCTATGGTCTACTTATATCAGGGCTCCCCAAAGTCCCTCGAGGGCCGCTGTCCTGTAGGTTTTAAAGGTTTCCCTATTTCAGCGCAGCTGATTCTGATGATTCCAGTTCAACAGAAGCCTGTTAATCAGCTATCAATTGAAATCAGGTGTGCTGGAGCAGTTAAAGCTCTAAAACCTGTCGGAGGGTGGCCATCAAGGACCGACTTAGTGCAGGCCTGGTCTAAATATTTTCACCTTCATTCCTTTATTCTTGCTGTGCTGTCCTGAGTCGTAATATTTTCTTCCTTTCTCTAATCACTGTTTTAGTGTGTTCTTCCTTCGTTGTGTCTTTCCTTTTTTCTTTTTACTAGTGATGGCTTTATGAGGCGTCATGAAGCGTTTCCACACTTTGGCAAATTGTACGGATATTGTGTATGATGCTGTGTCAATGAATACTGACACCTGCTGGACATTTAAAATCACTAAATGATTTGATGAACTATAATGTGATTTAGTGCTTTAATCTATTATTCATCTCTTGGTGGAGTTGAAAATATGTTCGATCATTGATATGATGCACAATCCAAAAATGTGAACATATAACGGGAAATTTTAGTCTAACATGAATTCGAATTTATTTATTTATTGATAAAGTAAGAACGTCAAACTAAGAGTCAATTTGAAATCAGAGGAACAGGATGACACAACAAGAAAATGAAAACAAATATGAGATGAAAATGATCCCAATCAGCTGAAACCTTTCTTTTACCTTCAGACTGCTCCATATTTCTTGATTGATTTGATGATAAAAATCAACAGATCCAAGATTTTTTTTTTTTGGCAGATGCGTTGCATTAACAGATGCACTTATAAACACAGTTTAGTGCATCAGTCAGTTTGAAACAAAAAACTGTGTCGGTCACGTGACTTTCGTAAAACGAAATGCGCTGTTAGAGCTCGACACATGCGCCTGCGCATCGGTGTTGCTGGACCATCAATACTTTATACTCACCCTCCTTTCCTATTAGTTTTTTTAGGTTTCATATTTAAAGGCTACTCACTCTTTGAGTATATTTTAGAAATCCATAATTTTATGTCATTCAATTTTAATATGGGTATAAAGGATAAAGAAGCCTGAAGATTTCTAGATATTAAAGTCAGAATTGCGCCTCGCAGCATGTATGGGAACCTTGCACACATTATTGTGGGGTAGGGTCCCAAGCAGAGGTCCGATTTTCCTCTGTAACTAATTAAACAGCCTTTCTGTTGTGAAATCAATAATCCTTGTAAAGCATGAATTTGCTTACAGTGCTCCAGGGCATACATAGGTTGCAAGATTTAAGCAAGGAGAGGTTTATATGTTAGATATTATTACATTGTATGCCTGTGTGCAGCACTGAACAAAGCACAAGTCCATGCTGACCTTTTTAATGTTTTGCTCTTTCCTTTGAAGGTTGAACGAGCAGATGCTGGTTTACCCAGCGAAGCAAAAAGCTCCCCTCTTCCTGTCTTTAACTACGATGAAGTCACAAAGCACCGCTCTCTGGAAGATGGCATATGGGTCACTTATAAAGGAGGTGTTTATGACATCACTGAGTTTGTGGCGATGCACCCTGGTGGGAATAAAATCTTGCTAGCAGCAGGTGGTGCCCTTGAACCTTTTTGGGCCCTCTATGCTGTTCATGACCAGGAATATGTGCTGGAGATCCTCTCGCAGTATAAGGTTGGTAACCTCTGCGCCTTTTTTTCTTTTTTCTGATAAATGAAAACACTGTTAAAGACTTGAAATTTGCTTTTGCTTTTAAACCATGCAAGAAGGCTCATCATATGACAAAATAGATTTTAAATTATAACTGTGTGAACATGGTTGAATTTTTGGGAGTTTTCTACAAGTCCTGTTTTTACAGTTCAAAATTAAGTTTTTCCGTTTGGAGTCAGATGCAGAATTTAGCACCATTACTCAGGTGAAACAGGTCCTGGAAAAACATAGGCTGAAAGGCCACTCAGAGAGGAAGAAGCCATTACTCCAAAACCACCATAAAAAGGATAGGTTAGAGTTTGGAAATGCTCTCAGGTTCTCTGATATTTGTGTGGACATGCTGTATGGTCATGAGACTAGACTTGTAGCTTTAAGCTGGCTGGATTCCTGCCACTGGCCAAGAGTTGAGGTTTTTACACAAACCCTGAAGCGTTATTCCAAAAAAAATATCTTGATAAATTGTTTGGACCACTTTCATGTTGGAATACAGAATTGTGTTAAACTATCACGAGGGCTGCTTGAACACCAGTTTCACACTGAGGTGAATTTAGCATCAGCATGGCCCGTTAGTGAAGAGGGACCTACTCCAAATTTAACCTTGAAATTTGCAGTTAACCTCACTGACAGTTCAGCATCTACTCCCTAGGCGCTTAGATGGATGGAAAATGTCGAAGTTTCTCACCCGAATAACTAGAAAAATCGTTTGAAGGAGTTGAAGCTCTAGCAAAGAGCTTCTGTCACTGTTTGACACGCAGTAGAGGAGGATGCTGACCCTGAGCGTACCTCTGAACTTGTTTGTATTTTTACTTTTGCTTTATCTGTTTCTTAAAAAGCGGTTTTAAATGTTGCCACATTCTTTTGGTTGAGCTGTACTTTATGTTGGAGGATCTTTGGTATTTACTCTAACTCTAAATCTCTCTGTTTGTGGTTAATCTGAAGGTTGGCGAGCTGAGTGTGGAGGACCAGAAGAAGCAGGAGAACACCAAGGCGTCAGACCCCTACGCCTCTGACCCTGAGCGCCACCCTGTGCTTCGAGTTAACTGCAAAAAGCCCTTCAATGCCGAGCCTCCTTCAGAGATCCTGACAGAAAGCTACATCACTCCTCATGTGTTTTTCTTCAAAAGAAACCGCCTTCCTGTTCCTCAGGTTGACACGGCTTCATATCGCCTCCAAGTGGAGGGCCTGTCAGGAGGAGAGCTCTCTCTGTCTTTAGAGGACTTGAAGACGCAATTTCCCAAGCACACCGTTACCGCTGCAATGCAGTGCGCAGGAAACCGCCGCAGCGATATGAATAACATAAAGGAGGTGCAAGGACTGAACTGGGGCGTATCTGCCATAGGGAACGCTAAATGGGGCGGCGCAAGGCTCAGAGATGTGCTCCTGGCTGCGGGGTTTGGGCCAGAAGTAGCCAAATGGGCTCGCCATGTCCACTTTGAAGGACTGGATAAAGATGTGACGGGGACAGCATACGGTACCTCCATCCCTATCAGTAAGGCCATCAGTGAGGAGGGCGATGTGCTCTTGGCTTATGAAATGAACGGTGAGGATCTTCCCCCTGATCATGGCTTCCCGTTGCGCGTCGTGGTACCGGGCGTAGTGGGAGCACGCAACGTGAAGTGGCTGGGGCGGATTGTGATCAGCGCAGAGGAAAGCGCCAGCCACTGTCAGCAGCACGACTATAAAGGTTTTTCTCCTGGGACGGACTGGAGCAAGGTTGACCCTAAATCCGCTCCGGCCATCCAGGAGCTTCCCATTCAGTCCGCCATTACCGTCCCGGCAGACGGAGCTGTGATCGACCGCAGCGAGGTAACGCTCACCGTTAAAGGCTATGCATGGAGCGGCGGCGGCAGAGAGGTGGTGCGTGTGGATGTGTCCCTGGATGGAGGGAACACATGGCAGGTGGCCCAGCTGAGGAATGGGGACGAAGGGGAGACTGCTGAGCCGTCACCTCCTCCTGGTCGAGCCTGGGCCTGGAAGCTGTGGGAGCTGACGGCTCCTCTCCCGCCACAGGCTGAGGAGCTAGAGATTATCTGCAAGGCGGTGGATAACAGCTACAACGTGCAGCCAGACACCATCCTGCCCATCTGGAACTTGAGAGGCCTGTTGAACAATGCCTGGCACAGAGTGAAGGTCAGAGTCAGAGAAGATTAATGGGAGGGACAGGTTCAGTGGTTCAGATCCATAACTGAGTCACCATGAGGGAACTGTGTTTACAGAGTGACTCAGTGATAAACAGGAAGAGGAATCGCTGCGTATAAAACATTTATGTGGTGTTTCCTAGAATATAACAGAAGAAACTGAAGCATCTCAACCGTATGGGATGTAACACTGATGTTCAGGTCTCTGAAGTCTGAACCATCAGTTTAGATTCTCTGCAACTAAAGGAAGGTTCCTGGATAAAAGTAGCCTTGTTGGTTCATGCACATTTCTCTGAAGCTATGTTTTAGAGTATTTTTTTCTGCTTGTTTGAAGAAAGTAATGGCATCAGGCAACCTGTGGCCTGTGGAGTCCTTTTTAGGGAGATGGTCCTTTTAAACAAATAAAGCACATAATGAAAGAATAAGGAAGAAAAATATCACTTGTAGAAATTTATTTGGGAGTTATTTGCTGATTTTGGAAAACGGTTATTTACTAATGCCTTTCTTTGTAATTTAAAATTTATTGATCTCACATTGGAGAAATTTACCTCTTCATTTAACCCATCCCCTTGAGGAGCAGTGGGCTGCCGTCGTGAGGCGCCTTGGGAGCAAAAACAAGGGGTTAAGGGTCTTGCTCAGAGACCCAGAGTGGCAGTCTGTGGGAGTGGGTTTCTCAGTACTCCATGCCCTATGCCCTAACTAGGCCGCCACTAAATGCTTACCTCATTTATTCCTCATTATGACTCTTGTTCCCAAGAGAAGTTATATAGGAGCTATAGGTTACAAACACCTGTTATAGACACCATAGAGAACTGTGAGAGCTACTGGTTTTAAAGTGTTTTAAATAAACGGAAGAAAAAAAACAGTAAATTGATTAATGGAAAATTGGCTGATTCTAGTCTTTAGTCTGATTACTGGATCTAAAGAAGTTTTAATTTCATAGTTTTATAATCTATAGAGAACCTTTTTTTGTAAATGAACACAAAATCTGTAAACAATTAGTTAAATCTCTTAAAACAGGAAGGTTATAGAGACATTTGATGTTATTGGGAGATGGATTGTGACTTCTTGAAAAGCTTCATATCTTTTTTTTTCACATCTTTTTTTTTCAGAATTTTCTACTTTAGCTTGCACTTTGCGATATTCATTTTAATGAGAATCAAGAAATTATGTGAAAAAACAAGTTGTAACCAGGTGAAAACATTGATCTCGGCCATTGGAGCACAGCGCTGTCCTGCAATAAAGCAGTGATGGAAACGTCTCGAGCAGAAGGTCATCCTAAAGGGTCGACTTTTGGAGACTCGACAAACCAAAACACTTTTAAAAGCTCCTTATTGTAATTCAGTCGCCCTGTAATTCCCACACAGGCAGTTTGAGAAGACTGCTTGTTAATAGTATAACTTTATAGACTAGGATTGTAGCATATTCTAATACATAGACCACTTTTTGTAGGCTAAATGCAGGTTGTTCTTTGAGCAACTGTCTGTCATCAGATTAGGCTTTCTTTATGTGAGTCAGCAGTGCAGCAGCTGTGTCAGTGAGAGTGAGAGTTGCATTAAAGCGGCGTCTCTGTTCCTCGAAGGACAAAACTGGATAAGTCTGTCTACAATAATGTATCCTAAACATCTTCTCTGGCCTTAAAATGTCCTAAAAAAAACTGGAACATGTGGTGGGTGGACAGGAAGTTAAAATATAGATCTTAATTCAGATTGTAGCTGCATTCAAACACTCATTCATTTAACTCAAACACACTGACAGCAGTCCTAGCTAATTGTAACTAAACCTACATTTAGAAAAGAGCCTCTTGAAATGTCAGCGTTTTTTTACTGACAAGGGGAAAATAGAAATAAAAAATGAGCTGCTAAGAAAGCTGTTTTCTCTTCTTCTTCAAACAGTAGTAGAGCCCTCATTTGTCCTGATGTTTACTAATTTCTCAAATCATCTGTCCTCACTATGACATAAACTGTGCTGTCCTTTTGCATTTGGTTGTGTCCTCCCTTAAATTAATTGCATCGTTTGAGGTTATGGAAGCTAAAACACCTTTAATGTGGGGCTGAAACAATCAGATGAATCAATTATTTAACTAATAACCATCTAAATAGGCTTAATCTGTAACTGGAAAGATTCTAGAAAATGCAGGACATGAAAGAACCCACAGAGCAATAATTAAACCAAAAATATCAAATGTTTTGCTGTGTAAGACAAAATCGATTCTGTTCAATTTCACCACATTTCATTAGACAATATTTGCATAGCTTCAAAATACCAGTATTATGATATTTCTTTAGATGATATTGATTTTAAATGTAATTCCTAATTGACCTTAAATGTAAAAAAAAAATTTATTATATATATATTTACGGGAAAACCTCTTATTTCATTGTCTTAGTTTTATATAATTCTGTAACCCTCAGCAGCTGGTTGGCAACAACATCTTGTGAGGTTTTCCAGAGCTAAATTATATTCTTTTAAAAATTACATATTGTATTAATCCTATGCATGGTGATACGGATCATATCACCAAATTCTCCTCAATTCAAACACATAATTTTGCATTTAAGACTTAAAAATCTTGTCTATGAAAATATTGTATACAGAACTCTCCAGGATTTGTAGTGTTAACCAAACTGAGTTTTTTTGGAATAAATGAGATTGTATCTAACACCTCTTTTTAAGAGGGTAGCTGGTTTTTATGGAGCTGTAAATATTTATATAATTTTTGTTAAATCATACGGTGTGTAACTGGTGTCCTGCTGAGTTGTCGTATTCAGTGGCATTTTAAAATGCTCTCTGTGCATTTTCAATTCTAGTATACTGGAAATGATGCAGACTTCTAATTTTACTCACTCTTTCTGCTGATTTGGTTGCTGCTTAGTGTGAACCCTGTCAAAGTGCCAGTGCAACACCGCACTTTTTGGATTCACTCGTTTTGTCATTACACCAACCGCAGAAATGTACTGGGTGCATTTTGTTTTTCACAATATCTCAAAGAGAAAATGGAGTTAATTTTTCCTTTTATACACTGATTTATACAGGAAATCCAGTTTAAGTTATTCATCTTTTTATGCCCAACAAAACGTTATTCCTCTGAGTACATGTTTACAGTAAAATGTCTGAATTTTGTTATTTATGTCATTACAAACTCCCATGTCATTTGTTTCTGTACATCTGGAAAAATAATAAATTGAATTTTAAAACATAAACGGTCTTTTAAGTGTAGTTTTATGGTTGCGAAGAGGTAAGAAGCAAAAGTTTTCATAACTCATGAGATTTCATGAATCAGACATGACCAGTAACTGAGGAGTTATAGTTTTGCTTTTTGGCCTGAATGTGATTCAGTCCAGATGTTGCTTCTGTGACTGGTAGAGATTTAAAAAATGCAATTTATCATTAAACATTTAGGAAGTTCTGTGATGTTTCTTTGCCTGACTCATGAAGAAGCAATGTTTTCGATGTTCTGCAGATAAACCAGATGAGTGATTCTGTTATGCAGCACAGTGTGGTCAAACTCTACTCCCTTATGACTGGAGTAGAAAGGGAGAGATGCTTTAAAGTAATAAGCAGAAAATATGCATGAAAATAGATGCTTTTATGTAAACTTTCCTGGAGAAAAAAACTGTTTGCTTCAACATCTCACTATTTTTTTATTGCCTCTTTTCTGCCATTAAAAGACAAATGCAGGAAATATAAAACTGACTCATCACTAAATTAAACAAATGTGTCACTTTAGTGGTAAATTCAAACTTGTAAATGCTTTGAGTGACGCAAGTTGTTACATACAAGGTTACAAGTAAATTAATAGCAGGAAAGGGGGAAGCTCCCTTAATAAAACTCCAAATTAATTTCATTAAAGGAAAGTGGGAATTAAGGTGAATTAACAAAGCCTAAAACTGACATTTAGAAATGGAAATAGGCATTTAAAGATAGGGGAGTATACAGGTGCTGGTCATAAAATTAGAATATCATGAAAAAGTAGATTGATTTCAGTAATTCCATTTAAAAAGTGAAACTTGTATATTATATTCATACATTACATACAAACTCATATATTTCAGATGTTTATTTTGTTTAATTTTGATGATTACAAATGACAACAAATGAAAATCTCAAATTCATCATATCAGAAAATTAGAATATTACTGAAGACCAATAAAAACAAAGGATTTATAGAAATGTTGGCCAACTGAAAAGTATGAACATGAAAAGTATGAGCATGTACAGCACTCAGTATTTAGTTGGGCCTCCTTTGGCCTGTATTACTGCAGCAATGCGGCGTGGCATGGAGTCGATCAGTCTGTGGCACTGCTCAGGTGTTATGATAGCCCAGGTTGCTCTAATAGTGGCTTTTAGCTCTTCTGAATTGTTGGGTCTGGTGTATTGCATCTTCTTCTTCACAATACCCCATAGATTTTCTATGGGGTTAAGGTCAGGAGAGTTTGCTGGCCAATTAAGAACAGGGATACCATGGTCCTTCAACCAGGTACTGGTAGCTTTGGCACTGTGTGCAGGTGCCAAGTCCTGTTGGAAAATGAAATCTGCATCTCCAAAAAGTTAGTCAGCTGCAGGAAGCATGAAGTGCTCTAAAACTTCCTGGTATGTGGCTGCGTTGACCCTGGACCTCAGAAAACACAATGGACCAACACCAGCAGATGACATGGCACCCCAAACCATCACTGACTGTGGAAACTTTACACTGGACTTCAAGCAACGTGGATGAAGTGCCTCTCTTCTTTTCCTCCAGACTCTGGGACCTTGATTTCCAAAGGAAATGCAAAATTTACTTTCATCAGAGAACATGACTTTGGACCACTCACCAGCAGTCCAGTCCTGTTTCTCTTTAGACGCTTCTGACGCTGTCTGTGGTTCAAGAGTGGCTTGACACAAGGAATGCGACAGCAGAAACCCATGTCTTTCATACGTCTGTGTGTGGTGGTTCTTGAAGCACTCACTCCAGCTGCAGTCCACTATTTGTGAATCTCCCCCACATTTTTGAAGGGGTTTTGTTTCACAATCCTCTCCAGGGTGTGGTTATCTCTCTTGCTTGTACACTTTTTTCGACCACATCTTTTCCTTCCCTTCGCCTCTATATTAATGTGCTTGGACACTGAGCTCTGTGAACAGCCAGCCTCTTTAGCGATGACCTTTTGTGTCTTGCCCTCCTTGTGCAAGGTGTCGATGGTCGTCTTTTGGACAACTGTCAAGTCAGCAGTCTTCCCCATGATTGTGTAGCCCCGCGGTTCTCAAAGTGTGTGGCGCGACCCACTGGTGGGGAATTGAGACGTGACAGGTGGGGCGCGCCAAGTTCCGGTGTGTGTGTGTGTGTGTGACTATAAATGTAGAACGTGTGAGAGCAAACTGTCCTTATAGCTGTATGTTGCCGCTTTTTAGACCAATCAAACCCACAAAGTAATCCTTACTAGCCTACATACAGTCTAATTAAAAGAACATTAGATATGAGAAAAATTTCACCTGGAACTGAAGTGCCAAAATAATGATTGACGTGACGTCGGCATATTATTTGTAACGGAATAACATTTCGCGCCCCAGTGTTGCCAACTTTGTCGCTATATTTCAGACCCCTCCAGCGACTCTTTTTCAAAAAAGCGACTAGCGACAAATCTAGCGACTTTTGGAGACTCTTACGTGAAAGCACGTATCGTTCCTTTTCTTGTCCTCCAGCGGCAGGTGCTGCCGTGGGGCGCCTTCTCCCTCCCAACCCCGTTCTCCCCCGCTATCGCAGGAGTCCCTCTCAGCGCTGCAGTCAGACACACCACAGCGTCCAGACTGCAAATAAAGCGCACATGCGCCGGGATTGACGGCGCAGGTTGATCATAATTAACTGAATTTGAAATATTTTATCTTAAATAAATAGGACCAGTTTATTGAAATGACGTCTGACTCCACCCTGAGGCTCAGGTTTAATGCTCAGACTCATAGTGAATTCTGGTTAGGAGTGGAGAGGGAGTATCCACTCATCGGGCAGAGAGCTGTGTGCATTCTTCTTCCCTTTGCCACATCATGTCTCTGTGAGATGGGCTTTTCAACTGTTGCTTCACTGAAAACAAAATACAGATCTCAGCTGAACATTGAGCATGACTTGAGAGTGGCAGTATCAAGCCTGCAACCCCGTTTTGAGAAACTGTGCAATGCAAAACAGGCTCATTGCAGCCACTAATGCAGGGATAAATAGACCTGTCTTGCCAGATGGATTTCACTTCTTTTCTTTTATTAACAGATTGCAGAGTGGAACTTTAATTTTTTCTATCTTTGAGCTTGATACAAATTTTGACACAGCTGCATTTTTATTTTCTTTATTTTTGAGCTTGCTGGCTTTTGATGTAGATAGTTTGTATTTAGATACTACTTGTTCAATAAAATTGGAACATTTTAAGATTGTTGCATATTTCATTACCATTGTGTTGGGGCGATGGGGACAGGTGGGGCTTGAAAATTCCCCCTTGTCCAAAGTGGGGAATGACAGAAAAAGTTTGAGAACCACTGGTGTAGCCTATAGAACTAGACTGAAAGACCATTTAAAGGCTTTTGCAGGTGGTTTGAGTTAATTAGCTGATTAGAGTGTGGTACCAGGGGCCATCAATTTTGAACCTTTTCACAATATTCTAATTTTCTGATATGGTGAATTTGAGATTTTCATTTGTTGTCATTTGTAATCATCAAAATTAAACAAAATAAACATCTGAAATATATGAGTTTGTATGTAATGTATGAATATAATATACAAGTTTCACTTTTTAAATGGAATTACTGAAATCAATCTACTTTTTCATGATATTCTAATTTTATGACCAGCACCTGTAGAAGGGATCTTATCCCTGTTCATTGTAGAAGTTTGAATAGTCTAAGTGCATTAAAACTCACTTCAATAGCCCCAAATGTCCACATGATTTTAATATATCTCTAGTTTAACAAAACCAAGGATTAAAATAGTCAAAAAAAGAATATTATACAGTAATTTTAATCAATAATAAAATTTGTATCAATAAACAAACTTACTGTTTAGACATAAAATACATAAGCTGGTTTGTGTTAGCAGTTAGGATGCTTGCTAATTTCTTTCTTTATCACAAATGAGGCTGTTGTTTTGGGTTTAGACTCTTATGTTTTTAAATGTAAACAAAACAAAAATTGCAATCTAAATAAGTCCCTTTTTCTTGAAATAAGTTCATTTTTGTCTTTAATTTAGCATGTGACACTGCCAATTGAACAGGACAATTTACACTTAATATAAGAAAAAACAATTGCATTATCTTTATGAAAGTGCAAATTATCTAATTATCTTATTTTAACAGAAAAAAAATACTCATTCCATAGACAAATTATCTTATTCAACTACTCAAATTAAGGGTACGTAATTTAAGACATTTTTACTTAATTCTAGGTCATTTATGCAGTGTACCTAATGGGCATTTGATCAAATGTAGCTACAACATTTTTCTGTGCATTATTTTACACTTTTTTTAAAGAACTTTTAATTCCAGTTAGTGAGATTATCTGATTTTCTGATGACTTCCTGTTATTTAGAAAAATAACCTGAAATTTGATACTTGCTGGTAAAGCAGATGAGTGCAAAAAAGATGAGCAGGAAGCTGGTGTCACAATGACAAACAGGAAACATACAGGTGCTGGTCATAAAATTAGAATATCATGAAAAAGTAGATTGATTTCAGTAATTCCATTTAAAAAGTGAAACTTGTATATTATATTCATACATTACATACAAACTCATATATTTCAGATGTTTATTTTGTTTAATTTTGATGATTACAAATGACAACAAATGAAAATCTCAAATTCATCATATCAGAAAATTAGAATATTGTGAAAAGGTTCAAAATTGATGGCCCCTGGTGCCACACTCTAATCAGCTAATTAACTCAAACCACCTGCAAAAGCCTTTAAATGGTCTTTCAGGATAGTTCTATAGGCTACACAATCATGGGGAAGACTGCTGACTTGACAGTTGTCCAAAAGACGACCATCGACACCTTGCACAAGGAGGGCAAGACACAAAAGGTCATCGCTAAAGAGGCTGGCTGTTCACAGAGCTCAGTGTCCAAGCACATTAATAGAGAGGCGAAGGGAAGCAAAAGATGTGGTCGAAAAAAGTGTACAAGCAAGAGAGATAACCGCACCCTGGAGAGGATTGTGAAACAAAACCCATTCAAAAATGTGGGGGAGATTCACAAAGAGTGGACTGCAGCTGGAGTGAGTGCTTCAAGAACCACCACACACAGACGTATGAAAGACATGGGTTTCTGCTGTCGCATTCCTTGTGTCAAGCCACTCTTGAACCACAGACAGCGTCAGAAGCGTCTTGCCTGGGCTAAAGAGAAACAGGACTGGACTGCTGGTGAGTGGTCCAAAGTCATGTTCTCTGATGAAAGTAAATTTTGCATTTCCTTTGGAAATCAAGGTCCCAGAGTCTGGAGGAAAAGAAGAGAGGCACTTCATCCACGTTGCTTGAAGTCCAGTGTAAAGTTTCCACAGTCAGTGATGGTTTGGGGTGCCATGTCATCTGCTGGTGTTGGTCCATTGTGTTTTCTGAGGTCCAGGGTCAACGCAGCCACATACCAGGAAGTTTTAGAGCACTTCATGCTTCCTGCAGCTGACCAACTTTTTGGAGATGCAGATTTCATTTTCCAACAGGACTTGGCACCTACACACAGTGCCAAAGCTACCAGTACCTGGTTGAAGGACCATGGTATCCCTGTTCTTAATTGGCCAGCAAACTCTCCTGACCTTAACCCCATAGAAAATCTATGGGGTATTGTGAAGAAGAAGATGCAATACACCAGACCCAACAATTCAGAAGAGCTAAAAGCCACTATTAGAGCAACCTGGGCTATCATAACACCTGAGCAGTGCCACAGACTGATCGACTCCATGCCACGCCGCATTGCTGCAGTAATACAGGCCAAAGGAGGCCCAACTAAATACTGAGTGCTGTACATGCTCATACTTTTCATGTTCATACTTTTCAGTTGGCCAACATTTCTATAAATCCTTTGTTTTTATTGGTCTTCAGTAATATTCTAATTTTCTGATATGATGAATTTGAGATTTTCATTTGTTGTCATTTGTAATCATCAAAATTAAACAAAATAAACATCTGAAATATATGAGTTTGTATGTAATGTATGAATATAATATACAAGTTTCACTTTTTAAATGGAATTACTGAAATCAATCTACTTTTTCATGATATTCTAATTTTATGACCAGCACCTGTAAAGCTGACTGTTCTCCAAGTCAGACAAATGGTTTATTACTGTGGTCAGGACAAAGCTGGAAATGGTTTTTCAGGGAGTTTCAATTTTATTCGCTAATTTAGAAGGATTGCAAAAGAGTTGAAGATTATATTCATCTTCATAACTTCAAACAATTCATTTGTATACATCTCTTTTTGATCTTGTCCCCATCTCATGGTTTTCTGCGTGTAGTTGCTATTCTTAAAATGACTAAATATTGTTTTCTGCTTTCTATTGCCTTAAAAAGGCCATGTTCTGTCTGCCTGGTGAATGTCTGTCTCTCCTGAAATGTTCTTTCCTTTTTTTTGTTTCCTGCAGCCATTGAAACAAATAGCTGAACTGTTGCCTTATGCCTTCCTTATTTGATGTCACTGGATACATGCGCATCAAGCCTTTTTTTGCAGGGAAGGTTTTTAAATTGATTAAATAGTAATTTAAACATAAATAGCCAAACAACCTTAAGGATCATAGCACGTTCTATCTAAAGTGAAATTAATTGATTTCACTTAAAAGCTATATATATAGGTAATTTCAAGAAGAGACGTCATGATCGTTAATTTACACAGATGCTCTGCATCCAATCTGTCTTAGCAAAACCCTGGAAAGCATGAAATAATTGTAAGAAAATGATTTTTTATAACTAGCATTCTCATTAAACATTTTCTCAAATAAAAAAAACAATACATTTTAAATAAGGAAAATTATATGTTATTTGTCTCATTTATTATACATAAGGCATTTCCATGCAGTTTTCTGTTCACTACTTGTCTGATTGTAAGGTAGGTATGAGGTCATTCTTCAACAAAAATATTACAATGATGATATGACAGGTCTCTGAAACTCATGTATCAAATATGATACACTGGATGTTAAAAGGTCGAGCTGTTTTGCAAGTGATGGACAAAAATGTCATCAGAAACATACCGAAAATATTGCTATGATTTAAACAAATGTTTGTTTTTATTAGTACAGAGGGAATTTCTAACAGATATTTTTTTTCATATGTTGACAAACATGATTTCAACTTTATAATAATGAGCTGTTTTGTGTTGGCCTATTTTTTTTAAATAAACATAATTTTGTGGTAATAACTGAGACTGTAAGTTTTTTCCCAAAATTCTGCTGTTTTAGGGTTTACCAAAAGTTTGAATTAGATTTTCCTCTGCACTAACTGCAGACATATATAATGTAAAGATTTTGTTGTTTTCATGACCTCGGATCCTCTTTTGTCCAGAATCCATTATTGCGAAACTTAACTATTACATGGGAAAAGTCTTTTCCATTCTGTGTGGTGGCAAATTCACGTTAAGTGCAGTATCTCCACCTTAAAGTGAGAAATTTTGGATCTTAAATGCAAGAAGTTTGCATTAAAGAAAATGTTAAACACTACTGTAATTATATTTCTAATGAAATGAATGTTCAAGCCCTTTTAGTAACATAAAAAATGCAATAAGGTATGAAGAGGGAGGAAATTTAATATAGTTCATGAAAAACATTTTTGGTAAAAAGCCAAGGAATCCTAGTACATCATGTAGCATTTACCAGCTGCACTGTAAAGTGTAGATTGAGACAACAATGCCAAATACTTTTATTTCAAAGTATGTCTTTGCACACTTTGCAATAAGTGCTTTAGAGTAGAAAGGCTTTATAAAAGAAGGAACTTTATTACTGCTTCCTTGTCAACAGGAGAAATAACAGCAACGTTTTGACCCTAAACATTTGTTGGAACAGGAATGTACAGATAGAAGGTTTTTCCTACCCTGTGATTTAGATCATTATCATCATTATCCAGAGATACACAGGCTGCCAGGACAACGGGAAATAAACAAAGTACCTGTGATCCTGATGATTACTTTCCTTTTATATTTACCTCATATTTCAGAAATAGCTTCTCTCACTTCTCCAAGGTTAAACTGGGCTTTACTAAAGCTGCTAACCTATGAGTGGACTCTAAACTTTTGGGTTAAAAGCTCCAGATCCTCCCCAAACAGCTGTACAGTTTCACTGCACATCTGGTGGCTGAGGTCAGCTGGCTGCTCGTTGTAATTCTCATTCTTCTGAGGTGGATCATCAGAGCCGCGGGGCTGACTCATGCCCGACTGAGTTAAAACTGCTGGAGCATCCAGGAACACAAAGAGTCTGCTGTTAGACTCTGAACACTTCGCACACTGTAAAATACCAGCTGTGGATGAAAAGTGGACAATGGGGCTCTCAGGGCTTCTGTTGCTGCTGGTGCTCAGCCTCAGAGCTGCAGTATGTGCCCCGGTGGAATGGACAGAGTTAAATGAAGCCAAGGTAGGATTTTTTTATTAGATCTTTTACCTTTAAAAAAAATTAAATTAAGAAATCACTGCAGGTATATCAATATATATTTTTACTTTTACATGCAAATACAGACGTATTTAAAGAAGTATGGCTATTTAAATGATCCAGCTGATCCACAGGACCTTTCCTACCTAGAGGAGGTCATTGAAGCACTGAGGTAACATTAATGTTGGATTTTCCTAAGAAAATTGGACAGATGTTTAACAGACAGTAGTTGTTATAATCAAACCATGCTCAAGGGAAAGAAGTTTTTTTTTTTTTTTATCAGTTTTCAGATGTATAATTATCTTAAATCTGGTCAGAGTCTTCCAGAGGGTGAATGATCTCCCTCCCACTGGAAAGTTAGATGAAGCCACCCTGGGTGTGATGAGACAGCCCCGCTGCGGCCTGGAGGATCCATTTAATAAGAAATTCTTCAAGTATAAAGTTATGGGTGAGTCAGAACATTTACAAAATATTGTTTTAGTTTAGTCTGAAAACTTCTGAATGTTTTTTTCTTAATTTCCATTCAACCAGCCATCTATGTGAGAGGTTGATGTTTAAGGACATCGTTAAGCTGTAAAAAGTGTTCAATCTTTTTCACATTTTGTCAAGTTTCAGCTTCAAGCTTTAGAGTATTTTACTAAGGTTTCATTTTTTTTATCTAACCTTTATTTAGACAGAAATATCCCATTGAGACTACTAATCTTAACAGCTCAGTACATTACAGACAATTGTACAACAATTTCAGTAAAAACATTTCATTTCCAAACCTTTGAGCAAAACTTTAAACTGGCCTATTGAAACCAGTTCCTTAAATTTCCAGTCTTTTTGTAAATCGTTCCATGTTGTTGAGGCAGAACACCAAAATGCCACCATACCAGCATTACAGCGGACGTTTGGTACAAACAGTAGCGGTGATTCTTGTAAAGAATATATCTTTCTGCCGCTTTTGGCTCAATATATTCCCACAGATATGAGGAGAATACTTGTATAAATGAACACATACCAATGAGAAAGTCAGTGCTGGCCAGTCCACATGTTTGTAAAGTGGTGTGTGCGAGGCTTACAGTTTGTGATAAACTTCAGTGTGGCATGATAAACAGAGTCCAGTAGTTTCATTTCTTGAGTCGGGGCATTCATATAAATGAGGTCACCATAATTCAGAATGTTGCAGCAACAAGATTCTCTTTTGCATTGATGGAAAAACAGCCCAATTTTGAAGTAAAAGCTTTTCAGTTTTTCCATCCTTTCTAAACAAACGTTCAATATGTCCTTTAAAAATATGATTGTCGTCAATTAAAATCCCTAGATGCTTAAAATATTGCATATTGCAATATTAAAAATTTTGACTTCTGCCCCTTGAAGTGATGATTGGTGGAATTATCTCTAGATTACTCTTTGTTTGTGAGAAGAAAGAGCAATCTGCATGATAAACGAAAGCAAAGTAATCCATAGCGGACACATGGTTATAGTGAAAGTGAAAAGTGTGCTTTTTATTTCGTCCTCTTTAATGAAGAGACTTATGGTAACTCTGGGGGAGCTGTAGAGATGCACAGTATACAAGCTGCAAACAAACAATTAGTTAAAGAGGTGTGCTGGTTGGATGAGACAAAGGTTGCACTTTTTAGGCTGAATCCACAATAAACGAATGGCAAGATCATGCTATGGAGATGCATTTCTTGAGCAGAGACAGTGAAGCAGAACTCTGGTGAAAACCTGTCAGTGGCATTTCCCTTGTGAACGGGCTATAGCTTCACAATCCAGCAGGGAATAAAGATAAACCTACAGTAAGAGCAACAGTAGAAAGGTTTTCAAAGCATATTAAACAGCATCTTGGTCCAGTCAACATCCAGATCATTCAGTCTGAGGTAAGACCTAAAAACAGATACTGTCCATCGACTCAGACTGAGCTGGAGCTATTTTAAAATGGAAACAAAATGTTTAGATGTGCAAAGCTGGTTTTAAAACACATATCTTATAGACAGGTAATAATACTTTTGAAAGCCCCTCTGGAAAGATTAGAAAGATTACTTCAAGTTTTGATGCCATCTCTTCATTGATGCTTTAAATAGATCTAGAATGGTGGCTTACAGTAAAAAGAAAAAACTTCTATTCATCTCAGGTCGCTGGAGGAAAAAGACTCTCACCTACCGGATCTACAATTACACACCTGACATGTTGAAGTCGGAGGTCAAAGCAGCGATCCGTTCTGCCTTTAAGTACTGGAGTGATGTGGCAGACCTGACATTCCGAGAGGTTGACTACAGCAGAGCCGACATAAGGATCTCGTTTCATAAGAAAGACAGCTTTTGCTCTGTCCCATTTGATGGCCGGGGTTTGTTCCCTTTCTAAATCCATTCAGTGTTTTCCATACAAATCACTAAACTAGATAGTGTAATCCATACTGCGTCTGTATACTCCCTGCAGGTCACGTACTTGCTCACGCAGAGTCACCAGAATCTGGTATTGTCCATTTCGACGAGGATGAATTCTGGACAGAGGGATCATATTATGGCACTAATCTGCGTATTGTAGCAGCCCATGAAATAGGACATGCTCTTGGTCTGGGTCATTCCCAGTTCAGGAGTGCCCTGATGGCACCAGTTTACACTGGTTACCGTGTCAACTTCAGGCTACATTCAGATGATGTCAAAGGCATTCAGGCACTATACGGTAAGTGTAGTGAGAAGGAAACAGGTTTGGTTCTTGATAATCGTTACAGTTTTGACAACTTATCTTAAACTTAATATTACAAAAGCTGTACCCTTTATATCATTTTCCAACAGAATAGTTCTAAACAAGTCAATAACATATTTACCAATTACAACTACAGAACTGATTTACAGTTCATTAAATTGTCAGAGTACAATTCTTGCTATATATTAGATACTTTGGATTTGTATCCCGGACTAGCCCCCAACTTCCCGACTTACCTAAGGTAGAGATGGTTCATAACAGAAACCGTTTCAAAGAACTCTTGTTACAAAGGGACCAATGTTTGCCTTGAATTCCATTGAACATATCATTTCAAATCTATATTTTGCTTTTTCTTAGTTCATCTTTTTTTTATTAAATTAATTTCATATATCAGCCACATATTAAAGTAAAAAATTAGGGAAAGTCACATTTTAGTACAGCCTTTTTTATTTGGACTAGAAAAGCAACATATATAGAGCATGCATCTGTCTATCTTAGTAACAAGCATGCATCTGTTTATTATGGGTGAGAGATATTAGAAAAGGAAAAATATTAATGATTCTTCTAACTTTAGATTTCAATTTTCTCTCCAGGCAAGCCTGTCAGCACCACAACAGCCATAACGTCCTCTCTGGACAGCTTGTTTCCCACTGAAAGCAGCTCTGGACCTGCAATAATTCCAGATCCTTGCACTGCGGACTTGGATGCCATCATGTTAGGTAATTCCACTTATTCATTGACATAAGATAAAAACACTAACATATATTTAATTCTGATAAAACATCTTGAAGTAAACACCATTATAACTAATCATGACAGAGCAAAGCTGACCATAAAATTTATTATCTACAAAAAACTTAAATGGCATCAAAATCTCTTTGTTTAGGTCCTTGGGACAAAACATTTGCCTTTAGTGGGGATTATGTGTGGACTATCTCTGATATGGGCCACAACACTCCGATAAAGATCAGCAGACTATGGAGGGAACTCCCTGGAAACTTGAACGCAGCTGTCCACTCGCAAAGAACAAACAAGACATACTTTTTTAAAGGTACAACCATTTTTGATATATAACACAGAGCTTCTGCAGGATTCCTTCTGCTCTACAGCTGCTGCTTCTAAACATTAAACGTCTGGAATCTTTCTGGTCACAGGTAGTAAAGTATGGAGGTACACAAGGTTCATGCTTGACTACGGCTACCCCAAACAGGTCACACGGATCCCTTCTAACATTGACGCAGCCTTATACCTCCAGATTAACAAGAAGCTCGTGTTCATAAAGGTAAAAAAAAGACACCAAGAAAACAAACGCATGTCAATAAAGCATTGTCATCAAACAAATTATTAAATGAAGCTGTTTGTATGAAAATCATATACCGGTAAGTCAGAGTTTGTTGGTAAGTGTTCTTTGATTTTTTTTTTTGGGGGGGGGGGGTAATTATTCCTCACAGTTATTTCAAATTCAAAATAATGTTTTTTTAATTGTACAAAATCAACTATTTATTTCTCAAAATACAGGCTGTCTGAGATACATGCCTATATATTAACAATATATGCACGCAAGGCTTAGTCAGCACTCCTTTAGGTGCCCCAAAGCTCACCTTACTCCAGGCCAAACACTGTATCTGGTTCAGCAGCAGCTTAACACCAGGAAGGGACAGTTTTAGCCTATATCCTGGCATATTCTGGATTTGACAGGATATAGGATCTTCAAGCATCTTGCTTTAACTCATTGTACTCTATATAAGCTACTGGAACCAGAACTTCCCTGAAGGAGTAATCCGAAGGGATAAACAAAGTTGAGTCTAAGTCAGTGCATGCTGGGTCTCAAAGCACTGACTCAAGTCAGAGGTCCACATCTTGTGAAACACCCACAAACTTTTGGATGGGCTTTGCATACTGTCCTAACAAGGCTAGAGATTCACGGATCCACATTTTCCACTTCTGATCTGATTCCAACACTCTAATCAATTCAAACCACTGAAGAAATGTTCTAATTTTAAGACAATCAAAATCTCATAATTTATTAGCTGTGAGCCATTATCATCAAACAATAAACTATTCCTATTCCTCAATGCATCTGCAATCAGCTTTCACAATCACATTTATTTTATGCCTTTAATCCTTCGCCTTTTTTCTATGCAGGGATCAGAGCACTGGCAGTTCGATGAGTTGAAATACAGTTCAACTTTCTACCCTAAACCCCTAAGCATGCTCATCAGCGGGGCGCCCTCCTCTCCTGATGCCGCCTTCACCTGGACCAACGGCAAGATCTTCTTCTTCAAGGGAGACGAGTACTGGAGAGTGAACAAGCTGCTGAAAGTAGACAGAGGATATCCGCTGAGCAAGAAGGAGAGATGGATGAGATGTTAGGGACTAACCACCAGGAGGCAGCAGGGGCCGAAGGAAGGGATTCTGGCTCCTATCAGAGGGCATTGAAATAAACCTCAGTATTAGAATTAAATTGTAAATTTGAGATAAAAAATGAACGAACTTGTTTAATTTCACTGGATTTTATTACCTTTCAGCTCCTTTAGGTTTCTCTTTGTAAAGCTGAGTCTCTGCTGGCCGATGAATTGTGTAAACTTCAGTATAATTTTGGAGAGAAATCAAGGCCATCTGTTTTTCTTTTCACATATGTGTTGAATTATATGTTGCAACACTTTAAGTAAGATGTAATGTACTAGCAGGAGTGTAAACTTTCTGTTTACTCTTTCTTGCATGTTGTAAATGTCCATAAATAGCAAAAATGTAAGATTTTGTAAAATAAAGACATTGTCTTGTGAACAATACAAACTGTTTTCGGTTCTGTCAGCAGAAGCTGCTTCATAGTAAAAAAAAAATCAAGACAACCAGTGATGAAAGAACGCTCTGTCCTGCATTGTGCTGGCTACAAAAAAACAGAAGAAAAAATTTGGAGGCACCATGGTAACTCCAACCAATAGCAGGGTAGGAAATCCTTCCCATGACCTCTTTATTGCTGATGAAAAACCCAGGACGTAATGCAGCTCGAGTTGCTAAGAGCCGGAGGAGACAAACAGAGCCGCATGTCTGAGACAATGAGGAGTAAAAACTGTTTTTATTAAAATCTGTGAAAACTCTATTAACAGGTATTTACACATTCTAGCAACAAGAGTGCCGTTTTTTTAAAACTGCATCAATAAATGAAAAATAAACAGACATGAAAAAAACTAAAAAACAAAATGACATGCTGGGCTTTGTCTTTTTTTTTAAAAACACTGATAGAAGGCCATCACATAAATTATGTTTAACAAAACATCAGGATAAGTTCTTCAGACCAGTTTTATGGTGTAAAAATCCAAATGTGCTGCAGCAGGTCTTTAAAGGTCCAACGAAAAACTGTCAAGAAAATCTTTCTGGTACTGCTCCACATTTTCAGTTGCCAAGAATTCACATCATATCTTGCTTTCATCCACGATCCGTATAAAAACAGATGAACCAATCCATTGACAAGAGATCAGAAATCAGCTTATTTTCCCTCTCTAATCTCCAATCAGCAGATTAAATTACAGACAAGATTTTTTTTCACTCAGATTTATCACATGCATTAAAACTAAGAACCCTGACCCTTTCCAGCTTCGTGGAAACAAGATGTTTATGCAGCGATTTAATGCAGATGATCACGCTAATACATTTTTAGCACTGAATTAGTGAAGCTCCAGTCAACTGCCTGTATTTCTATTATTTCCCTTAATCAGCTCTAATCTGTGATCCACAGGACGGATACTGTGCTGCAGAGGTGAGATGTAGAAATAAGGATATTCTGGTATCTTCTTCATTTTCCATTTAATTCAAAACTAGAACCCCTGTTAGGGAACCTGCAGCACAGTTTCATTTTCCTTTATAGATAAAACTCACCCCAATCGAACCTCAAAGTGATAATGACGGGAAAAAAGCCTGATTGCATTTCTACAAAATAAAAAGAAACACAAAATCCTACTTGTTTCTTCATCAACTAGAATGTAAGGCACGTAATACTAAGCTCTTCACGGTAATGACTAACTTCAGAAGAACAGGAACTAAATGCAGACACATTTGTTTCTGAGGCTTCCTGCTTTACATTAAATACACAAAAATAGAAATGAAAAACTTTTTTTCTGTTAGTGTCTGCTTTCTATTGCAGCTCTGACAAACACACAGTGGTGATAGTGGTTTTAAGAACATCAAATCAGAGTTTGATGCTTGTTCAAGCAATCAGTGGCATTTTCTTTTAAGACATACACACACACATACATCCTCACTACCGGATCTACTTCACAGCTATGAAACTCTAGGTTGACACGTTCTGCTCTACGTTAACCAAGGGAAACTTCCTGCTAATGATACCTTCCCTCGGGAAGCAGGAAGTCCTGCCTCGTCTCTGACTCGCTCAGACCCTGACGACCGGAGTTGTGGCTGTGAGGGGAACCATGGAGCCGGTCTCGCAGTCCATGTCGATCATGGTCTGGTTTGTGGTGCCAAGGCTGCTAAGGGAAGTACCTGTTCCCATCTGCCGGTCCCGCAGACTTTGTAGGTAGCTCTGAACAGAGAATAGACACAAAAATAGTTGAGTTATGTAAAAATAAGTGGTTACCAGGTAGAAAACATTTCCCTCGCATGAAGACTTCTTTTCAGAATCGCAAACTGAACCAATGAGGATTTTTTTTTTTTTAAGTCACTACAGCACACGCCTTGTTGGGAGACACTGACCGGTGCCAGTAGATCCCCAGCGTAACGTTTCACTGGGGTGGGTTTACGACGGTATGTGCCTTCCTGCCCACCTGCCTGCTGTCGCTTCTTGGCGTCCTTCTCTCGAATCCGCATCAGCTGCACCCGCTTCTGTCTCCGGCTGATGACAACTGCAAGAGCAATTTGAAACCAGCCTTTAGAAACCACTCATGTTTGCTAAACACCAACATGACAATTATACAGATACTTTCAGTTTGAGCTCAACAAAACACAAGTAAACTTTTGCTTTATAATTTCCTTGTTATTTTTGCTTTGGGGTGATTTATGTTAATTCCTTTGATCACTTGAGGGTTTCTTCATTTTGAACGGCTTTAAGTCATATGATCTTATCCTCCACACTAAAGATCATTTATCCTGTAATGGAAAAAAACAGTTTCACGTTCTTGGGTATTAAATGGGCTTTACCCTCAGGCTCTCTAGTACAAAGTTTCTCTTATTTCCACTGGAGCCCTTGTGAGCTTAGCCAAAAAGTATTCTGTCTCCATTAAGATATTTCCAATTAAGGTTAAGCTACAAGTTAATGGTTATTGATATAAATTCAATTCAAGCATAGCCACAGTCTGATTTACATTGCTTAACCCCAGAGGGCTTTAAGGACAATTTCTGCCTGAAATTACATATCTGATTAAATCAAATGTCCAAAGTTATATGGTGGAAATGTCAAACAATATATGTATTTCTATGATCCAAAGTCATAAATAAATAATATTTTTTTTAAATAGAACCACTATTTAAAGTGTCATGATTTCTGATTGATCAAAGCAGTATCAAAGCAATAAACTACAATTTTCAAATCTGACCTTTTTTTTTTTTTAAACAAACAGTAAAACACAATGAAACCCCATTTGAAACTCTGAAGGAAGCCCCAAAATGTATAGAACCACACCTTGACAATGACAGCAGCAAATCTGGAGTGGATCGGCTCAAGCATATTTGTTCACAGGGGTTTTAGTGGACAGTGAGTCAGGCAGACCTTTCATTTTGGCACAGATCTGCCAAAAGTGTCCAAAACGTTCTAAAAAGATTTTTTACTAAAAAAAAAAAAAGGAATCTGGTATAATAAAAGTGCTGATTTCCATTGTAGAGCTACATCTGCACATAAAAAAGTGTTTTTTCATAAGATTCCACTGTTTTAAAATTCACCTTTATAAACAGCATATCAATAAACTGAATAGAAAATTAGATGTATTCTATATTTTTTCAGATTACAAGATACTTAAGTCCAACTGTACAACAAAAATAGCCAGAAAAAAGTATATAATGTTCTGCTGTAACAGTAAAGTGTATAATGTGAAAGTTTTACAAAGTTGACTTAATGACAAAAGGACTAGAAATAAACTAATAAAGGTTTTTTAAGGCCATTGCCAATTATTTTGAAATCAGTCTAACCCATCCCCTATGTGTGCTAGGATGATTCTTGGTGCCAATGTTGCATTTTCTTGATAAAAATGACACCATTATAACAAATGTCACACAGGTCTGAATTTAAAATAAAAAAAAAATATTCACAAATCAAACAAAAAATGTTAAAAAGCAATACAGAGTTATCTAATGACAATGCAACATGTGGACCAAAACACAAAACTGCACTCCTCTACTCGTTATCGTATTTAAAAAATGTTCTTTTTTTACTTTTCTCATCTAAACCGGCGTTGGGCTGGATGTTGGTATCCACAACATTTATCTTGAATCTAACGCTTCAATTGTTTGCTAAGTCAGACCCATTTAACATGGTCGCGCCGGATGTCACGTCCCGAACAGCACGGGAACTTCTGACCCCAGGTAAATGAAGGAAAATAGGCTGCAGGCTTATTGAGCCATTGGTGCTGAACTCCTGAGGTGTAAGTCTGTTCATCAAATTATGTTTTAATCATTAAGGGTCAGATAAAAAGACATTAAAGATGTTTTCCAGTAAAAACTTACGTAATGTCTCTTTAACAATGGATAGTGAATGTATGAAACGGCAATGCTTTTTATGTGATCTTAAGGCTGCTAAATATATCTGTGAACAAATGCTGTTATTGGCCGATAACGGTACTAGAAAAAAAACACTAATAGCGGTCAAAAATATTGGTCGGCCGATGTATCAGTCTATCTCGCTGAAAGACCACGCAGGAAAAAGCCTGAATTTAAACTATAACTGTAACCCTATATTAACCTTTAGGTCAGCCGTAACAACACTCTTGCTTGGTTAGGACATGAAAGGCTACATCCTTTCCTTTGCCAATATCCCACAGAATACCATGTGGCTCTGGATCTGAGTTCAGTACGATTATCATTTCAAATGAAATATATTTTCTATCAATATTGATACGGTGTCTATTGTGATATATGTTGATATTGATTTATTTCTCTGCCCTAATTTGAGTCCAAATTCGACATAAACAGCTCCAGGTTGGTAATAAGTCAACCATGAGTAGCACCACACTGCATACAGGGGTATCACAACAAAACCCTGAGATGTGAGCACTTTACTAGTTGGCGATTACCTTATTTTCACTTAAATCAGTTATAAAGAAAAGCTTTGAGCGATCTATAAATTAATTACATTTTTTTTTTTGTTAATAGAAGTGGAACCTTTAGAAATAAAACTATGTGACAAGGATCCATGTGATGTTATATAAGATTACTGTGTTTTATCCTTACCCTCTGTGTGTGAAAAGCTGTCGTCTGTCAGTTTCCACTGGATCAGTACTCCTATGATGCTGAGAGCAGGCCAGATGCCCAGGATGACCCAGCTGTACCAGCAGAGGGCTGGCCCTGGTATGAGGCGTAAGCAGTCATAGACGTGATTAGCTAGAACCAGCATCTCCACAAAGTAATCAGCACACATGGTCATGATAGCAGCGCCAAACACAGCCGTGGACAGTATTGTGAAGATCTTCTGCCACTGCAGGGTCAGGACGGCAAACACCATGCCTGTCCCTAGGAGGGCGCCCAGAGGCACCCACACCGTGTTAAGAGTGTAGAACTGGTGAGCGACCAGCAGGCCAGCAAGAGCCAGCAGGAGTCCTAACAGCAGGCCCGTCATGAAGAGGCCGAC